TCTAGAAGTATCACATTGGAAAATTATGATGGAAACGCCAAATTTCGAATTAAAATCCCCTGATTCACACAAACTAAAATACGCTCGCTTTAGCCGGGTTTTGGTTGATTTGAAACAATGTTGATTCGCAAAACAGGGGATGGAAACAGTTATGTTCGAATTAAGTCTGACGTAGCGCACCTCTCTCCATGGTGATATCCACACTCTGGGTCGGGAAGGCAGTAATGCATTTACAAGCTGGTTGCCAACCGCCAGAAAATGTAGAAGAAGAAGAATGCAAGACTTGTTTTGTTTCCGGTTCTGCGGAAAACTTGCACGAGTTTGTGGGTTTCACCAAAGTCCGTACATTTAATGGAAACACGCAGGATTCGTATTTCTTTAAATGCGCATTTCCCAATGATTCAAATCACTTTGGATGGAAACATAGCTTATGACATCTACTTTGAACTTTAAAATGGATAGCCCTATATGACAATACAGCTATACATTATGAAACATACATTTGCCAGGCATTTACAGTTAAGAAACATATGGTCACAAAATGTCAAGGCTGTGCCCCTTTTTGAGGAGATAAAAAAATTAAGGATCCCATAGATAGATATCAATGCAATTTGACATGTGTTTTGGACAATAATTTTAACAAGACTGTCTGCATTTTTTCCTCATTAAACAAACATTTATTTTATAAACATGTCTGATAATTGTTTCGCAAACTTAGTTTACGCATTACCTTAATAAATCAAGGTTTTTTATTTTACTCTGGACCAGTGTTGGACCGACAGATAAGAGTTCAGACACAGGGCTGTGGCTCAGGGGGTAGAGAGAGTCGTCCACTGATTAGAAGACCGGTGGTTTGGCTCTTTCGCTCTGCATGTCAAAGTGTCCCTGGGCAAGGTACTGAACACCAAATTGCTTCTGATGGCTGTGCTGTCAGTGTGTGAATGAGTATGAATGTTAAACTGCAGCTTGTATGGTAGCCTCTGCCACCAGGGTATGAGTGTGTGTGTGTGAGTGCATGAATGAAACATACAGAGTTGAAGCACTCTGAGTGGTTGGATCACTAGAAAGGCACCATACAAGTGCAAGTCCATTTGCTATTTAAAAACTGAGAAACAACTGCTCAAATTAGGAGAGAAAGTGATGCAAAATTGTGAGGTCTTAGATTTTTACATTTTTACTTCACAGCAGGTTCTAGGAGGAGGAAAAACATGGCCGACCTGGACTCTGGATGAGGTTCAAGTTTCTTGAACCTCTGACCACACCCAACAAAACAGCTGGGTTTGGATGACCATCATACCCAGCTGTACTGCACATCATGTCACAGCTGCACAGGGGGTAGAAAAATCATGTTGTCACCACTAGTTGTCAGGGTGAGCCTAGTCTCGCTCACCAGACCTTTCTAAAGAAAAGAAAGGTCTGACTGGGCCGACTCTCACTTTGAGATTGGAGGAAAAAACGCCCCGGCTGCTTGTATTTCTTTCAACCAATCACAATCGTTCTGGGCGGTGACACAGCAACGGTGCGCTTGCAAAAATATTGCCGGGGGGAAACAGGTTTTGGTGTAACACGCCCACAAAAATATCGCCTACAGGATGCAAACCATGGCAGAAAAATGGCTACATCCCCGCAAGATCAAACACCGCAAAAGTAAAGGATGTGTTGAAAACTGCTAAACAACCGGAGGTGGTAGGGCGGGACTTCAGCGGGTGGCTTGTTCCGCCCAATGAGAGGCTGATCTATGCAGCGAACTTCCGCCCACTCAGACTAGGGTGAGCCAGATTATTAGACTGCATTGAGCTCAAGTTAGTCGACCTGACTCAGCTAGGTAAGACTCTCAGAGCGATCCCAAGATTTGGGGGGTCATTGATAAAACCTCAGTTGCTATTGAGTGTGTACTAGAGATGTCAACAATTAATAGACAATATGTTGCAATGGATTTTGATAAAGGAAAAAAAAAATTGGTACTGTTTAGTATAAACAAAGTAATTTTTTCACAATTAAATGAGTAGTTGATAAATACATTTTACCAGTGATCAATTAAGCTTACAATTTGCAACCCCTAGTGTGTACCTTAATTTTTCACAAGTAATGTTTTCTTCCTGTTTGCTTCTCATTAAGGGCTGTGTCCACCAAAGCCTTTTTATTTGAGGCAAGCATATTTTTTAATGCTTTGCAATGAAAGCGCCACATTACACTGCACTACAAACGCTGGCAGCGCTGTGTGTGGATTCTGCACTGAGCGGAAATGGAGGAGAAATCTGTTAACATACAGTATATATTGTGTTTCCTCTGATGAACCCACACTGACAGGCGGGTCCGTCCTCTCTTCCTGCATGCTCTACCCTTCCCCTCATCCAAATCAAGTGGACATGGGGCTTATGCCTACTTAAAATCGTGTTTTTGTACAGAGAAGCCAGGATTGGAGGAGAGAAATGTATGGAACATATCAAAGGTCCCAGCTGGAATCAAACTGGTTTGTTGCAGTTACGGGCTATGAAAACTTCATCTGTCCAATGTACAGCTGCTAAATGGTTCAACCAGTCCAGTGTTCTCTGTGCTTCTGATAGAACATCTGTCCCTGAGATTTCTGCCAGTACAGTGGAGGTGAATGGCACTGTATGTATGCTGCTCACTAAAATGTAGTAAGAAAATAATTTAACGTCTCTTTCCACAACAATACCTATTTGACAAGAACATCTGACCTAGTTGTTCACTTAGCAGCTTTTTCCTGAGCTTTCAGCTGAATCTCACGGCCACATCAATAAACTCTCTGCTCAAAAAGTTGGGGGAAGCTCAGCAAAAAGCTAGAACCATGAGTGACTGATTTGTCAACCAACAGTCCCAAGGTCAAGGACTACATTTTATGCTCAGCTGCTTGTTATTCTGTTTCTATGTCATTAGAAAGCAGTTCAAACATAGATGATCCAGAGATTTGTGAAAATTTGTAAAAAATAATGTTGATTTTATAATGCTGAAATTCACTCCATTGTACTGGGGAGAAGGCAGAAATGTCCAGGGTTGGATTTGCGTTATCGGACCTTCATTTAACCCTTCTTTCGTCAGTTCAAGCCAAGCCAGCCAACGCTACGTTAATCCCTGGTCATGACAATTCAGGCCCGACAACAGTTTCTCTAAAAACGGAAAAGTCTGTCCTTTGCGTTTTAAAAAACTTCTGCGTTTATATGACGACGTAATTGAAATGTTCCCGTTCACACGGAACCGCAAAATTTACTGGAAATTCTGTAGTATGCACACCAGGCCAATGGGTGGCAGTGTAAATTTGCAAAGCAACACCACGGCTTGACGCCATGCGCCTGCGCTGAAGCGCCTTCCTCTACAACGCGGTGATTACAAACCAAAACAAAGACGTCACACTGGCGAAAGCATGCACAGATAACTTTGGACGGACGACAAGGTGGAGTTGCTACAGTAACAGATCTACACTTCACTTCAAATCAAAAGGGTGAGCAGCACAAACAGAGCTCGGCATTGTTGTTGTGATGGTCGACTTTCTCGAGCATGCCTAGTGACTGGAAGCGTAATGTGCTTGTGCGAAAAGTCAAGTGCAAGTTTACATGACAATGAAGACGCCGCTGTCGTGTAAATGATCGGCCAAAACGCAACTTCAGTTTACCGTTTTCAGCTGCAATTGTTGTCGTATAAACGGGACCCCAGATGCAACCTGGGTCACAACCCTGGAGCAATACAGACCAGTTACCTCATGTGCTAGAAATGGGCGGGGTATTTTGGCTCTGTCCTGAAACTGTTTTGGGTGAATGTTCACATGGTTATTATTAAAATTTTGGGTTATAATATACCTAGATCATGCAAGGCATTGTACTTAGGCAGTATGGCAGGAGGAACTGTGTTTAGAGAAGACAGAAACATACGGAAAATCTTGTTGGCAGCTTGTAAAAAGGCCATCACAAAGACATGGTATAAGGCAGTTTGTTTGTGTTTTGTATTTTTTTCTCTACCTTTTTGTAACATTTTTAAAAACAACAAAAATAAAGTGTTAAAAGAGAAATGGGTGGGAGGTTTATACATGATACTCAGAAATAGTGTTCTGCACTTGAATCCCTCATTGTATAGTATATTAGTACATCACATCTATAAACACATTTAACCTAACTGGTTTGGCCTGTAATATTATGATTACTTCAACTGTACTGCTTTTTCAGTGCCTTTAATTTGTCTGTGACCAGTTTCTGTGTCCAGTGTACACCTCTCTTATTTAGCAGCTTCATTATGTTTGCACACACTACGTTGTCCTTCACTGTTCCAATCATCTGCCGCTTAATTTCTTCCTGGTCGCTCGGAGCTTCTGCATTTCAAGTCTTGCCACATCTGCAGGTTGTTCAAATGGTAGCTACAGGTAAAAACATTCCTGCTGCCATTGCACCATTGGGCTGTGGCGACCTGTGACAACTGCATCATGGCTGCGCGCCCTATTCACAACCAGTGAGATAATTTGTCTCGCCTTGGCTGCCATTCATATTAACATCGACCCTTACCCAACCCACTTCTTAACCTGGTTTGCGAAGTCACATTCACACACAAAGTCAGTGCTGGTTCAGCCCAGGTTGAACCCTCAGTGTGAAAGGGGTTTGATACTAACAAGACAAATAAAACCAAAACTGTCTGCATGGCTGGACACCACTGAAGGTAAGAGAAGATTAGGTACAGTGTTTTTGCCCTTTATCAATGTCACCTTTCTCTTTCAGTTTATGAGACAGCAAATGTGTCCTACAGCAGAATTCAACTTTTTTATGATGCTCAAAAGTAAAAGCTCATGTGAAGGGTATGGACTTCATGTCCTCACAAAATGATGCCCAGAGATGCCGCCAAACAACACACTCTCCTCTTGTAAATCAGTGGTGAGGCATGAGACACATTCTGACATCAATGTGATGAAGAGAGAAGAGAGGGATGGTCTCTCTGCTCCCTTAATTTCCTCCATCAGCAGCCTTTGTTGCTGAAGAAATGATAGATGCTCTCACCTTGTCTCTCTCCTTCTCCTTCAGTTTGTCCATGGACCTCTTCAGTCCCTCCTCCAGCAGGTCCATCAGTCTCACCGTGTCTCCTGACCGGGTCTTAAACTTCTTCCTGAGCAACAAAGACAAGAGGTTCAGTGAGAACTTTCTAGTGAACTCTGAAATCACAGAGAGAGAGACAAAATAAAGGGTTATGAGACTTTGCAGCGTATTTTTGTGCTGTGACGTCTCAACATCCCCACACAGAACTTTCCAGGTACTCAGGTTTGACTTTCTGCTGCCAATGGTTATTGCGACAACAAACTATTAGATTCTGCTTGCCGACACCTCGGGGCACAACATTTTGTACAATCAACCAAATCAGATACAAGCAGAACATGAGCCAAAAATTTAATAACCCCCCCTTTTTCCCTCTGTTTACTTGCAGCCATAACATCTCCCCCAGTGGCTGCTTTAAGCCCTTATTGTCTGGATGAGCGATTATGAAAACAGCATGATAAATTTCTAATGGAGTTTGGAGTAGCGCAGACATTGTGGGGCCAATTTACGCCCCCTCAGGTTACTGTGGGGCGTTTAGCAGCACTTAGTTATGGCCTCTGCGAAGCATAACATCAACCTCCTGCCTGGGCTTGGCTCTTCTTCTCTGGACGATTGATTGGGAAAAAACAACAGTGTGACAGATAGTGTTCAAATTATAGAGCCTGCTCACCTATCAGCCACACAGTAATCACTGCTTACTATAAAAAGGGAATAAATAATACACAGGGGATATACAGTAGTACGCAGACTGTACGTGCAACTGCTTGGGAAAATAAACCGGGACTGAGAAGTGGAGTGAAGAAAGAGGAGGAGGAGGAGGAGGAGGAAGAAGATGTGAAGGTGGGCGAGAAGAGGGAGAAGAAAGACAATGACGAAGAGAAGAAGATGAGGAAGAAGATAAAGGGAGGAGACGAGAGGAGGAAGGTGGCGGAGGTGATGGGGAAGATGAAGACGTGGAAGACACAGCAGGAAATGAAGGAGGGTGACGAGGGGTACGGGAAGAGAAGGAGAATCAGATGGAGGACGAGAGCAAGTAGGAGACCAGAGCTGAGAAGGGTAGATGGAAGAAAGAGAAGAATGACAAGGAAGAGGAGAAAATAAGGTAAAGGGTGAAGGAGAGAAAGAAAAGGATGATGACGCAGACCGAACCAAGGCTGAGGGAGAGTCTGTAGCATGAAAAAGAAAAACTCAAACATGCTCAGCAGGTTTTAAAGGATTCTTACAACTTGTGTCTTACTTTCATGGTTTTGTTCATCATTTCTATCGATTATAATAATGTTTAACTCGTCAAGTTAATTGCTGAAATTTAGGAACACAAATTAAAACGGCACAATTCGATCATTTTTCTTTTCAAATCAGTAACAGTGTTTTGTTTTATACAACTAAGACAATGAGAACATATTCAAAGTGTGTGGCTTCATAACTTCTGCCTTACATATCTGCCATATCCCATGTTAGGCTACAACCAGCAGCTCTATAGCTTGCTGCATCAGTCAGTTAGCTGATTGGTCTTTGGCTGCCACAGTTTTTGCTCTCGGAGGCTGAAATTTGGCAAGGGGGTCAAGTGAGTGTGTGTGTGAGAGAGGCTGAATCCAAACGTCTGGACTTCACCACACTTGCAGACTCACAAACTTTGCAGGCGTGTTGCTAGGAAGTCTGGGAGTGCTAAGGCCTGTCCAAATTCACAATTCAACCGGTCCATAAAGGGCCTAAAGCGGACTTTCTGCAGACTTCCAGAGAGTCCGCTCGGGGTGCAGACTTCAGCAGACTCCATTGATTTAATAACCCACAATTCATTGCAGTACGAATGTATCGTCGTAGGTTTTTTTTTTTTTAATAGCCGACTAAAAAAACAAAACTTATAGACATGTAAAACAGTTACTGTTGACTATTAAATCAAAAATTGAATTGTGTAGGCCAGAAATAATATTCAACAACATCATGATACAGACATATGTAGAAATGTAGGCTACAGAGAGTAATCAAAATGCATGGTATTATTGATGCCTAACCCAAAGGTTGTGCAGTGTAATGCCAAATATACAGACTAGAAAAGAGGCCGAAAAACAACAGAAGAAAAACAGAATCTTCTGATGTAGCTGATTAGTCATAGCCCGGTCTTTATTTCCAAACATCTCTGTATGTGATGGTCTGCAGTTTGTATGTTACAAAGAAATGTATTTTGTTTCACTCACAAAACAACCCTATACATGGGATTTATATCTTGTTGTCTGCAGGGACAGATGAGCACACAGCTGTTACAATGATTGTGACCCTGGCTTGGGCGTTTCCGTGGTAACGAGTAAAACAGTCTCGAGGATCGTCTATCAGCGGCTTGCTGTCTCTTCCCTTGCAGACTAGAGTCAAATTTCTCTAAGGAGACCAATAAATGAACTGAACTGACTTCACGTGATGACGGTGAACTCGTCACAGTACGTACAACTAGAGTATGTGAGGGCTCAGAGGGTGCACATTTAGATTCAGCCAGAGTGTGTGTTTGTGTTCATGCTAATCGGCTGAAAGGGGGCGTGGCCTTCTGCCTTTAAAGGTTTCAGCATTTTAAAGTCTCAAGTTGCGTCTCAATTCTGAGTTTTTAGGAGTTAAGATAACTTCAGTCCTGGTCTCAACACTTAAAGTCTGACTCTGACACAAGCCATCTTTCATGTTTCGGTTGTTGTGGTATGTACGGCACCGTTGGCTTCTACTGGCTCTCATCAGCAGCCATTCAGCCAGTTGACTGTTCACAATTTGTATTTCAAGCACACGATGAAACTGCATATGATTATGAGTGGCTAGTTTAGTGTGTTAACGTGTGTTGTGTTCAGACTGACTAACTTTCACACAGCCAAAGAATATGTGTCAGAAAGCAGGAGTTTCTTTGTTGCAATCTTTGTGGTGTGTTCACATTAAACTTTTAACTTTTGATAAAAGATAAGAAGCAGCCACCAGTCTTTGTCTGCACTGGGTTTTTTTTTCAAGTCACCTCAGTGTGTCTGTGTTTATTCTGTGTTCAAACTGAAAGCGTCTCTCCAATTCGATCTCATGTTGTCACTGTCCAACTTTTAATTACTGTTGTCCACCTACTGCACAACTTTCCCGCTCCCTCCCGCACCTCCACATGCTGAGTAATAACAGCTCTGCATCCTTGTGTTTGAACCAACAGTTCAAACACTGAGTGTACTGTTTGTGGACCAGCGGCTGTATATTTTTCCTTTTTATTTGTGGATGCGGTCGTGCAGTAAAATTCTTGTTTTTTATGTATGATAATAAATGCAATAAAAACATGAAGCAGTGGTGATAAAGATACAGTGAAGGACATCCAGATGATTATAGTGTGGTGGAGTTGGAGAAGTCTCCATCTTCAGAGGCTGGTCTTTGTTGGTCTGATGACGGCAATTTGGATTTGTGTTAAACTGTTATTAGTCTGTGTGCAGCTCCACCACTCGGTCCTTCAGTGCTCTCAGTATCAACACGGTCAGAGTCAAGAGTTTCACTGCCAGAGTCTGAACTGACTGATTTTTGGATTTATGTAAAAGCCTGGATGCTTTAAAAAGCCATAAAGCTTGGATTTGGGACCATTTAGGAAATATGTATATTTGCTTTCTTGCTGAGAGGCTGCTAAGAAGATCCATACCACTCTTGTATTTGTCCATTTAGTATCATAAAAAGATGGAGAGAGAACATCTTATAAAGATCCAGACAGTCACAAAGAGTCGGCTCTGTGTGTTGTACACTTACTTGTCTTCCCCCAGCACCACACCAAAGCCTGCGTGCTCCACCCGGGTCACCTGGGGGTCGTACCAGCCAATCATCTGAGCCGCAGCGAACACCACCTGGAAGTGTGTGCCCTGAAAGAGAAGACACACGCACAAATACAGTGACATATAACATAAATGTCACGTTGTACGTCCCAGATTAAAAGAAGACTTTCTATATGTCACAGCTGCCTGGAACAAAACTGAATCCTGAGCGGCTACAGAGTTCAAACACACACACACACAGACACAGAAACGGACACAAACAATAAAGTACATATAAAATAAGTAAACAACAGAAGTCTACACAAGTCAGCTGACCATATCATTGTACATTTTGAAGACTTTGTATTTTTATGTGGCAACTTTTAAGACACCTTTAATGACTTTAATTTCATTTAAGTCTCAGGGCCCTGTCTTACACCTGTCAAAGCTGCGTGCAGCGCAGCACAACTGTTATTATGAGTTTCAGACCAACGCAGTTGTCGCTTTCTGAGCCCGCACCCAGCTGTGCTCATGCACGTGCAGTTTAGGTTCATTGTTGACTTACTGCTATTTTGAAACAGCCCAAAGTGACTGCGCCAGTGACCAACAAAAACCTGGTCTGAAGTCAGTGGCGCCATATTTCGCTGCTATTTTGAACACATTCATCAGACATTTTGTTGTTTGTTTAACTAAATAAAAGGTCCACTGTTCTAAAATCTCAGTCGGCCAATAGGAATTACAGCTTCATTTCTCATCAGGCAAGTGAGGACAAGGAGTGTAACTTCACTGATTTTTTTTCAGATACTAAAAGTTAAGTCCTGTTTACTCTGACAGGTTCATAACTACAGTCTTTACTCTCAACTCAAATGTATTTCTAAAGCACATTTAAAAACAAGTCACGTTGACCAAAGTGCTGCTCAGATGGAATAAAATGCTAAAAACACACACATAAGAGGCAACATAACTGTCAGGTGCACAGCTCACACATTCAGAGACAACACACACAGGCACGCATCAGGGAAGGCCACATCAGGGGGACGCAAACGCTAAAGAACAAAAGTAGGCTTTGAGTCTGGACTTAAATGAGTCAATGGAGGTGGCAGATCCAATTGGGAAAGGGCTGCTGGTCCACAGTTTGGGGGCAGACGCAGCAAAGGCACGATCACCCCTGAGCTGAAGTCTGGAGCGTGGGACAGCCAGGAGCCCCTGGTCAGCTGACCAGACGGACCTGGGTGTAGAATAAGATGTTAGAAGGTCTGCGGTGGAGGATGGGAGCGTCCTGAACCAGCTGGGAACGGAACGAAACGTCAGGGGGATCACCAAAGTCAGTAGGCCTGATCTCCTCTGCGCGCCATCAATGTTTTTACAAATCAATAGAGTAGATGTTAAGGTATTGTATTGCTCATGCTAAGTGAAAACTCCCGTCACCACGGCCTTGTATTTACTGGTCATGGTTTATTAAGTTTCCTCAGACGACAGTTTCAGTTTCACACCGCAGACAGTGAGCCCGTCCCTCTCTTCCTTTCTCCCTTTTCGCTTCAGCCGCCGCTGCTGCTGCTGCTGAAGATGTCTGTCTTCATAACCAACATTTCAAAGCCCAACCCGCCGTCTCCGACACAGATGATGACTTCGTGAAGCTCTCAGGCTCCAACTTGTGTATAAAGCACCAAATGATTTTAGATGAACTCTAAGTGGTAGTCTGAATGCTGCATTTATTCACACCTCACAAGAAAAGGAACAAAAGACACTGAGAAGGTCTTCATCTGTACTCTTACTAGATCAAAGGTAATGTTTTTCTGGGAAAAAAAAGTTGTGCCTGTGTTTAAATAAATTCTGGGACATATTTTATTCATAAAAACATAATAATGTGTCTTCCACGCCACAACAGTCAAATAATCTGAATTTAAGCAGACGTCCTCCTTCGTCACCTCTAAAGAGCAGTGAGTTTCTGCTTCTTGAAGTCGTGCTGAACAGTAAAACTGCTGTGAGACAAATGGTCCCTGTGCTCCCTATTAGATATTCTAAACTTAAGCTGTTGTTTACTTCCAGCTTTCTTTTTTGTTGTCTAGCTCCTCTATTTGTTCACACTGTCATTCCTCTTCTATATGAACTCTTCCATCTATGTTTCCCCATCTTCTTTCTCTCTCTGTCCACCCACCTGCCCGCTGTCTACGACGTAGATGAGGATGTCGCCTCTCTCATCGAAGAGCCGCTGCCTAATGGCTGCGAGGTCCGACGTGTCGTAGGTGTAGCCGCCGTCCGACTTGACGATGGTGAGGGGGATGGACTGACCCGGGACGAAGACGATCTTACGACCCTCGTCCATCTCCACCAAGCCTGAAGAGAGAGGGAAGAAACAAAAGGCAAAGGAAAGATGGATGAATAGATGAGGAGGGCACACAGGGAAATTAAACGAGAGAAAGTAAAATGACATAAACGATGGTTAAGAGACAGAGTAATAATGTGGGTAGGATTGGGAGGGGAGAGGAGGAAAAAGGAGATAATGAGTGAAATGGAGAATAAAGAAAGTGCAGGAAAACATAGAAGTTGGACAAGCAAAAAAAACAGACCAAATACAGGAGGGGGATTTGGAGGAAGACATTAATGCAACAATACTGCCACCTGGTGGTCACACAAGGAAACACCAGACTACAATTTCAAAGACATACAAAAAAATCTGTTCAACATTGAGGATTTTGTATCATGGATTAAATATTATTGGTGCAAAAATGCTCCACAAAGCCTTTAACAACCAAAGTACACAGAGGCACAACTTGAACGTTGTACAGAGGCAAAAGGGACTCAAAAGGAGACCACTTTTTATTTTTAAAATTAAGCAAGAATAAACCACACTGGAAGTAAAACAAACAGTTCCTCCTGAGAAACATCCTTAGTGTGATAACTTTCATTTATCCTCCTGTGACCTTTGACGTGCTGCACACTGACCTTTGTCCTCAAACTCCTTCACCACCTTTGCCATCATTTCCTGGTAGTACGACTCTCCTCTCTCCGTGAGCTTGACGTCCAGGCAGTCATAAACCTTCTGGAACTCTGAAACACACACCATCGTCATCTAAGTGTCAGTTCTGAGACCAATTTAAAAAGCTAAATCAAACTAAACACAGCTGGAATAAGCAAACAACTGAACTTTTCAACAGTCCTTCAAAAATGTGAACAAGCCTGGGTTCAAGGGTAACTTCAGATTTTTTTTTTTTTTTTTTTAACCAGAAACAGCCCCGAAATCGCCATCATCAAACCCCTCAGATGCCTTTTAAATACACATTAATTTTAGCGTGCATAGAGCCAGTGTATTTTCACATTAACCTGAGTTAATAAAGTGTTTATTTCAACCAAACCAGAGAGAACTCAGACAGCTTTTTTGTGTTTCATTTTGTTTCTGCAAACTTTGAATAAAGCGTGTTTTAAAGTGATGACATTACTGTCTATGTAAATGGAGTCTGGTAGGTCTGGCTGTTTCTGGTTAAACAAAAAGGACATAATTATTCAACAAAAACGTCCATCTTTGTAGGGATCCTTTCCATAATGTTGTCAGACTTAAACTTAAACTTATAATAACAGTCTGAGCCTGTAAGTGGCAAAAATAAGCACCTTTAGTTGATGTAAATTGGCGGTGCATTATTGCTCCAAACAGTTACAATGCAGCTTGTGTCACGGCTGTCAGCTCGAGCGCTCTCTCAATGCAGCATTCATTTCAAAAAGTTCAGCTGTGTGTGTTTGGTGAGGATTCTTCCTTTAATATCACAGCCTCATCAACAGATAAATCCATGTGCATTCTACCTTTCCTGGAAACATCGCAGATGAGTTTCCAGGCTTTGATGAAGTCGGGCTCTTTGCTCTGCAGTCTGACGACACACTGGTACGCTCGCTTCTTAAAGTCCTCCTCCTCGTCAAAGCGCTTCTTCGACTCCTGATTGAGAGAGGATGAGGAGATGTAAGATGGGGGGGAAAGAAAGAAATGAGAGCGCATAAGACCAAAAAGAATAGGGTGGATGATGTAAGAAGTAAATGAGGTGTGGAGAGAAATGATGGAAGACGACAGCAGAAAGAACAGATAATGTTCTGCTTTTATACATAATGTATTCACACAATATACATATGCAAAGTGTGCTATACAAGTGCTCCACTGCAGGAGCATAATGCTCCACAGAATATTTTTGCATCAACTTACTGAAAATATCACTTTTTATAGTTGACATTTACTGTCAAAACTAAAAGTTTAGATTTGGTGTTCATTCACTTCATGAACTTTAGCTGCAGACTGTAAATTAATCTGCATGAAATATATCCACAAACAATAAAATAAAAACTATGACAGATGATGGACATGAAAATAAACCAAACAGTCAAATATGTATATATTCATAGTTAATACATACAGCTAACTAGTAGCAGACCTAACATGTGTGACTATATGAGCACTTTAAGTCCTTTGTCATGATACAATAAGGAGCAGCAGTGGAAAACAGAGAGATGGAGACAGATGGAGTTTTAACTGACCTTGTAGAAGGCCTGCAGGTCACCAATGGGCGGTGAGGTGGTCAGGTAGTCTGGGAATTTATCCTGCAGGTGTGCAATCAGCATCCCAAACTGGGTCCCCCAGTCACCCACATGGTTCAACCTGAGAACGGCATAAGCAGTGTCAAACATGACTACATTACTTTATACCTCTGAGGCCGTGACATGATTAGGTCTTAATTTTGAACCTTCTACAAGTAAGACATCTCTATAACTGACTTGACTGGCATAATATTTGATAGTGATAATCAGTGTCTCCCAGTGATAACCACCTGATGATTCCTCTAACACCACTGCCATGTCAAAATTTCCAATTCAACATGTTGGTACAAGAGACGTTATCAAGAAAACTTATCAGATTTCCATGAAAAATATTGTGGATAATCACGACCTCCAGTGTTACCATGATCAATATATGAACGTCACATGCTAAACATGCTACACGGTCATTGTTAGCGTGCATACAGGTAGCATCGCAACACCCCAAACTATCAATTAAAGGGATAGTGCACCCAAAAATGAAAATTCAGCCATTATCTGCTCACCCATATGCCGAGGGAGGCTCAGGTGAAGTTTCAGAGTCCTCACATCACTTGCGGAGATCCAAGGGGAGAGGAGGTAGCAACACAACTCCACCTAATGGAGGCTGACGGCGCCCCAGATTCAAACGTCCAAGAACACATAATTGAAACCACAAAATATCTCCATACTGCTCATCCGTAGTGATCCAAGTGTCCTGAAGCCCCGACATAAAAAGTTGTTTGGAAAAACGTCATCTGAACTCTGTTTTTAGCCTCATTGCAGCCTGTAGCTCTGACTGCCTCTCTGTGCACTGCGCTCACGTGTGTGCGCTTGCACAAGACCGTGAGACATGGGCACCGCCTTCATGTGTGTTCACGTTCTTTCGCTGGTCTCGCACGCAAGTTAGGCAGTTAGAGCTACAGGCTACAATGAGGCTAAAAAATGCCGTTTTTCCAAACAACTTTTTATGTCGGGGCTTCAGGACACTTGGATCACTACGTACGAGCAGTATGGAGATATTTTGTGGTTTCAATTATGTGTTCTTGGACGTTTGAATCTGGGGCGCCGTCTGCCATTAGGTGTGCTGCTACCCACTCTCCCCTCGGATCTTGTTGTGAGGACTCTAAAACTTCACCTGAGCCTCCCTCGGCTATGGGTGAGTAGATAATGGCTGAATTTTCATTTTTGGGTGCACTATCCCTTTAAGTTAACGTGAACCAGGGCTGAATGACCTGAGATTTTTGAATCAGGATTTGAATGTCAGTTGCCATATTTTATGACGTCAGCACCCTAAAAAACATTTTAAAATCCTTTGACAAAATCTGCCATTTGAATAAGGTGATTCCATCTGAATGAATGAGTTAGTCTTTTATTAAGTCACCTTTCTTTGATGAATAAATGTCATTTATGTTGCTGTTAGACTGCTGCTAGAGCGCCCTGTTAATACAGGTGCATGCCTCTCTTTGTGTGCGACAAGCGGGAGAGGAAACAGTTATTTGACAGTTATTTGCAAACAAATACGGAGTGAAGCTGAATATTTTGTTAGACAAAAACATGTTGTGGAATTTGCAGGTGATTACATCTATCTTTTTTTAAATAAAGGTTGACTTTACAACATTCTGGAGGTACTGGAAATGTTTGGATCACAAGAGTCTATTAGAGTAGCCTAAACTTTATCTGCAACCGGTTAGAAATACCAAGTTTAGACAGAATGAATAAACATGCAAGTACATTTAAAAACAAAAAAAAAGCTGCACAGCATTCGTGTATTTATTAAGAATTTAAATTCTAACAATAAGGAATGAAGCTTTGAAGCTCCAAAAAGATTTTCTGTAGCACCCTCACGTCAAATATTCATCAACATACATTTCACTGCTGGTGTGGTTAACATGCTAACACTGACTGTGCTTTAGGCTGAGCAAGGACAAATTTAGAAGGGTTTTTTGCAGAAAAGAAAAGATGTCTCTCCTTTTTTCATTCATGCATTTTGGTGTGTAATGAACCTTACAGCCTCACTGGGATAATAACAGTGCTGGAGACTATTAGTCCTGTTGACAAATATGTGTTTCCTAATCAGAGGCAGAGTAGGGCTCAGTAAGGTGGGTCAGTCCCTTGATATCCTGGGAAACGCAAATTTAAAGTAGAGAGGGATGCCGTACTGTGATGTGCATAACAGTGTGTGTTCGTGTTTCAGACGCAGCAGGTGTTGTGAGCAGCGACTGAACTGACCTGAGAACATCGTGGCCCAGAAACTCAAACAGCCGACTCATGCTTTCCCCGATGATGGTGGAGCGCAGGTGACCCACATGCATCTCTTTGGCAATGTTGGGAGAGGAGAAATCCAGGATGACCTGGGCGGCACACACAGATGCAACTAATAATGAGTAAAGACTAAATATAAACCTGACAATTAGCTCCATCATTAACCAATAAACTAATATTCAGGCAACAGTAGTGTACAATTATTCACATTTTCGGGTTAGACGTTTGACTAATGACAAATCTGTTTTTTGCTGTTGAGGAGGAGTATGATGTAAGAAAACTGGTGCAGCTGAAGAACAGCTCACAACCCTTTGTATCTACATCTAGCTTCATGCTGCATGAGGGAGTGTGACCAACCCTTTTCCTGGAGGCCAGTGGGGGCGGCTGCACTCCGTTGACCAGCAGGTTGCTCAACATTTTGGACACAAACGTCTTCTTCAGGTGGATGTTGATGAACCCTGAAGACACAAAAATATATCAGAAGGGACGATGAGTGTGAGTCAGAGTACAGACGGATACTAGAGGTGCTTCAGCAAGGATTCTGAACATACATATTGCTATCTTATGTCCAATTACTTAACTTAATTACTTGTTATCTATTCAAAAACAGTTTGTGTACTCAGTATATCTGGAAGTGAAACTGTCAAGTTGTGCATTTCTGCTAGGCTGTAGCTTAATGTAGCATTTTCAATTGTGATAAATTACTATGAAATCCAAACAAATCTACTGAACTGTTGTGACACTTTTTAAATATTATTTGCAAAATGTTCCATTAATTCATAAAAAGTTTATCAAAGCTTATGTTTAAGTTTAAAATTATGGAAAATACAAAAAAACCTCCTATGGTGAATGATTTTATGTTTAAACTCAGTATTTTTTCTGATTTGTTTTATTAATTTAATCATGTCAGATTTTCTATTACGGTCTACATTGCCTAAATATCACAATGCACGAAATAAACACAAACAAAAATATTTCTGAAAATCTAAAATATGTATGCGATAACAGAAAAAGTGCAGGAAGCAGCGAGGAAAACCCGGGGAGGAAATCTCTCTGCGATGCTGCGTCCATAAGTTTTCCATCATTAGAATGAATCACAGTGAGATGTTTTGCACCTGGTCCTGCAATCTCGGTTTTCTGGATGAGTTCATTGTCTGGAAGGTTCTGGATGATCTTCTCTGCAATCTCCCGCGGGTTGATTTTCATTCCCTTCGCCTTCAGCATCTGCAGCACGACACAATATGGCTTAAAATGTGTTACATAAACTTATACTAAGAAAAAAAAAACTAATTTCCCGGTTTTCATCCCAGAAAGACGTTTGTTTTTCTGAACTGCCAGGCAGCCAACAGTGTGTGTGTGTGTGTGTGTGTGTGTGTAGTAAGTTTTTTGACAAGTGTAATTTCAAAATTTGATGTATTGGATTTTTACAGACGATGAAACCTGCAGTGGTTGTGCTGATTCTGCAGTTGGCCTCCACAGAACAATATTAAACACTGCACTGTTACAATGAAAAGCCTCCAAATATTATCTGATCACTAAGAAACATCAGTGTTGTTAAAAATGGGTCCTTTCTGAGAAAACACTGAAGATGTTTGTAAAGCCTTGAAACTAGACTTTCATTATTAAAGACAGTCTTTTAAATAGTGTTCACAGACAATTCAAGGCTGTAATTTGTATAATGTCAGACATTTAAACAAACTCCGGACCTGCAGACTCACAGAAACTTCTATTTAGCCGCAATTAAAGGGTAATTTTCTGTGATCCACAGACAGACTTGGCAGCCTCACCTGGGCCATGGCCATGGCACTGTTGCACTGGTAGTCTCCAAACTTGGCCTGCTGGTTGGGAGCGACAGACAGTGGAGGGTTGTCCAGCTCGGGGCAGGAAGCCTGGATGGCCTCGCCGAAAATCTCCTGGAGCCGTTGGTTAATGTTCAACATTGATTTACCGCAGTGAGTCGTCCTGTCCTCTTGCAGGCTCTGAGCACACACAGCACATCAGCTTCATTAATATAACGATGATATATGAAGAGGAAACAAGAGGAAAATATATTGGATATGCTCAATATGCTTCGACAGTCTGACTTTACACTACCAAAAAAAACCTACATACATACAAAACAATTGTGACTGGTTAAAACTGACTTCTACTGTACTCATATTCGAGGCAAAGAGTACACCCCATCTTACACCTGCTGTACTACTCACCCTCTTCAGGACGTTGAGGCGGTACTTCAGCTTGGTGTTCTCATCCCGCAGCTCATCCAGACGTGGAGATGGACTCAGGTCCTGTGGGTTTTTCAGACTCTCAATCTCTGCAGAGAGACTCCGGATCTCCCGCTCCTGAAGAACAAAAACACACACAGGTTTATATTTGTGATTTGTGAGACCAACTCGATCTTTGAGATGTTACACTCCGCCTGTGATGCAAGAGCTTGTTCTGGTTCCCAAGAACAGCATCTACTCAGCTGACGTTCATACAGTGGAGGGTGAAAACTACTGCAAGCTGAATGCAGCTGGGTTAAAAGTAAAAGATTTTTGGACATCCCAAATATGTCATTAATATAAATAATAGGCCTAAATAAAAGAGGGCTGCGTACAGAACCTTGTGGTACAGCTAAAGGGGACATTTTTCAACACTTTGGTAGTCAGAACGTCATATGTCTTAAACCAGGGGTTGTCAAGGTGAGGGACAGGCGCATGCCAGTGTGAGTTACTGCAGTTTGGCCCACTTATCAAAACATTCAGCAGTTAAAGGAGCAGCAGAGACTGTGACACACAGCTTATGGAAGCAATAATGGTACCCCTGAGGATTGATGTCCATAACCTGCTGAAAAATCATAGAGAAAAGATGGACACTTCTAACCCCAGGACTTGCCTGATAGTATTTAAGCAATCCAGTGATAGTTGTCCGAGGTGCTAACATCTAGGGCCCGACCGATTTATCGGCCAGCCGATTTAATCAGCTGCTTATAGCCATTAGAGAATAATTGGCAATCGGCCAAAAGTTGGCCGACTGACGCCAATGTTAACACTTATATTTTTATCATGAATAAAATGCAGGGAATATGGTGTTTTACTTAGAAATGATGTCCTTGTTACTTTTTGCACTATAACCTACCTCTGTTAAATTGGCAATGATAAGAAGAACTCTGGTGCTGTGAACATACATGTGAATGTCTTAATTCATACAGACTTTCCATGATTATTTTATTTCCCAGAGGTGTACTGCCTTTTTGCACTTCATATTTTTGATTTATTTTGTGTTCAAATTGTTCATATGCTGCTTGTTCCACACAATTTCTGATAATAAAAGTATTTGAAAATAGTAAAATGTTCTTCCTTCAGTTTATATCTTTGTAACGAGTGTTTGAACTATATTTAAACCATCAAAAGCAGGTATTTCGGGGTTTTTTAAATTGAAAAATGTAAAAAATTAATCGGCCGATATATCGGTTATCAGATTTTTTTATTCCATAATATCGGCATCGGCCCAAAAAAAATCCATATCGGTCGGGCCCTACTAACATCTACCTTGGCATACATTTGATGGTGCCAATTTGCCTAGAGGTAAACAAAGGTGAACAAATGGGGTTGAAACCCACAAATAACTAACTGACTCCATGGCAGCATACATGTAACACCTCCTGTTCACATCCTCAAAACCTCCAAATTACAGGAACTGTAGCTCCAAAATTTAGACCATGATTACCCCCCTGATAGATGTAAGATAGACAATAATAGCAGGTGTAACAAAGTTTATTAATATTAATTATTCTATCTTGATTTTGTCTGATCTGGGCCCTACTCTGACTTTGAAGCCCACTGCCTTTAATAAGTCAATAAACAATACTGACAAACACAGTTTCCTATCAGAGACTCAACAAAGTAAAGCATCAGTTTTACAGCTGCTATATCTGTACTGTTCCAATAATCATTGCTAACGTTTCCCAGCTAAAACTATGATAAGACACAAGTTGTCAATGTTTTACTCCGGAAACAGGCCGTAATCTAAAGACAATCATAAACAGGAGTCATTTTTTGACTGCAATGCTGTCATTATTCAGTGACCAGAAAAAGAAACTGAAACACATTTCTACTTTTGTTTTGGGAATAAAGACTATTTCCACGTGACTTTCGTCAATCTGATGTACTTTCTGTGATTTACAACAGTGGATTTAATATAAAAAAGTAGCTTAAAAAGCTGGATGACCTGGGTTTAAATATATTACACCAGAACTGCCCTCCTGCCAGGAGGAACTCTGATAACAAATTCAGAGCACATCATAATCAGTAAATCAGAATGAAACCAAAAGCTTCATCAAAGCTTCAGAGTCTCTGAAATTCATGTGAACTTTAACCTCAGCCACGAAATCCAGATTATGCCACAGCAGATTAATATCTAAATAATAACACCAACTTTCTTTTCTTGCATAGCAGCCACCCAGGATCCTGATGAGGACCTCTAGAGGGCCCCAAAGAACACTTTCATAAATACTGACCATACAGTCACGTGTAAACTTAACATAATGTACAAGATGTGTTGATGTCCCTGTATAATGGAGCTTTCAGTTTCATTTGGCTGGTTAATGAGCACAAACTGTTGTCTATGGAGAGGATCCAACTTGCACAAGACTTCATTAATCATCTACTAATGTAGTGTTTTCTTCATTCCCAATAGACTCGCGCATAAATATGATATTTTAGGAAATTCGGCGCCGAAATTAGTTAGCAAGCAACGACACCCCGTTTTTTGTGTCGATGAAAATACTCCTGACAGCCACATCCACAAACTCGATGATGTGCCACGAATGACAGTAAATCAAATGCTAAAGTTGATTTTTAAACAAAATAGGTGGTGTATGGTGTACGGGATGTTAGCCGAATTCGAGAGTAGTGACTACCTACCCGGTATATATTGTTTATTTATAACGTCATCAAGTTATTTTTACTAACAGGCACAACGACATGAAATTGAGAGTTTGCTAAATGAAGTTCGGCGCTGCGTAACCGGTGTGTCGCTATCCCACTGTCACCGGTGTTCACACACGCATTTAGCCTGCAAGCCAGCATTAGCAACAACTCCAACAAGCTAGCCGCTCACCTGTTGTTGCAGCCGGGCTGTGTACTCGCTCACAGGGTCTCCCATCTTTCAGAAACACCGGAGAGAAACTCTTCTGTCAGGTGAAAGTGGAATCTCGTGGCTGATGAAACAAACTGCGAGAGGAGGAAGAAGTCCACGAATTTCAAGTATACTTCCGGTACTGCAAACGGCATCTTCTTCTTCGTGTACACTGACGTAGCACTAACCATTGTGAAAGGAGAACAGCGCCGCCTGCTGTATTCTGTGTGTGCGGCAACCTAGATTACTACAGTCATTTCATAGGAAAACATTGTACTTTTTAAAGCATTAAATACATTTGACAGCTGTAGTTACTTTTTAGATAAACATTTTAAAACATATAATAAGCTTATAAAACACTGCACATTGTTTAAGATCAAACCAATAGTAGTTTACAACCTTTTTGCGACACCCTTACAAAAAATCAGGATTAATTTGGGGCTCCTCACGACCCCTTTGAATTTACACTGTGTCCCTTTGAGGGTGCCTGCTCCTGAGGTTGGGAACAACTGGCCAAAGTATATTTCACTAATAATACTATTGTCCTTTAGTTCGGTAGGATTTTGAATTGAACCCTTACTAGTTTAATAAGTTTATTTGTATCAGGGGCAATGTACAAAATTACATTAATCTCAGAATGAGAAGAGATGCCTTGTACCGGATTTAGCTTACTAGCTACTTTCCATCCGTAGTCCCTGGGCAGGTGAGTGAGGACAATAAGAAGGTAAAAAGTGTCAACATACAAAACAAAACAATCATCTATACACGTGCGTACACACACCCACTCACACATCACAAACACTCAGGTACAAAACATATTTCATAACAGAGGGAAATAAGAACATACAGGTATTAAAATATTACACACTTTAACAAAGTTGTAAGATCATTTAGGCTTAAGATTAATGCTGACAAGTGTGATTCCTTAAGATCCATTTTTTGACTTCACGAGAAAAAAAGTCTGTGCAAAGTTTCAGGTTGGTTGGAAGATTGTTCCATGATTTGATGGCTTTAAAAGAGAAAGCGGATTGAGCAAATGCAGAGCTACGCTTAGGGATGTTACAGTCTCCACTTGAGGCAGATCTTATAGTGTGTTCAGAGCGGAGTTTAACAACGTTTTTCAATGGGGGAGGAGCAGCATTATGAATTATTTTGTACACTAAATTTTCTATCTCAGATTTTCAGGGCTTGTTTGTGGAGTGACCTGATGGGTTTCAAGACAGATGTACTTGCCTGAGACCAACACAACATACAATAATGAATTTAAATAAGTTTTAGAGGCTTCAACTGTTAATGAGTTCCTGATGTGTCTAAAATTTGATAAGTTACATTTCAATGTGTGACTCATTTTTTTGATATGGTTTTTGAATGTGAGAGTGGGATCTAATATCACACCCAGATATCTGAACTCATTAACATTTTTTATCATTTGTCCATTGACATAAATGTTTGGAAAAACCGTATTTCGCTGCTTGTTTGAAAAATACATTGTCACTGTTTTGTCAGTATTAAGGGTGAGACAGGAATACTGAAGCCACTGTGTAACTTTTTCCATTGCCAATGACAACTTAGCTTACACTTTGGTATAGGTACTTTTACTTAAGTAAAGGTTCTAGTAGCTAGAGACAATGTTTAATCACTAATACAATCTACATGTTGTGTTTCTCAACAAATATTAGCTGCTTGTATTGATAAAGAAAACTAAGCCCTGATACAGAGACAGCATTGGTGTCCTCTGCATGCAGCAAAACTCACCTTTATGAGCTATTTTTATATAATAAATCTTAAAGGGGAAGACTGAAATAAAATGTTAAGACATGTATAGAAATGAATAAATTGAAAGACCCTCCCCTGCTCTCCGAAAAACAGTCAGATTAGCTACCCTACCAAAATATTTGTTAAGTCTATACCGTAATACCTTGAACGTATTAAGGTATTACGGTATTTATTTAGAAATCTTACACATTTGATTTTCAATATGTCAAAATTACAGATGCTCCTCTTTCTATTAAACTGATACAGTTTACCAATATGCTCAAACTGATGTGCTGTATTGAGGTAATGTACTGTAGTGCACAGCATGCACCATCAGAGGGCAGTCTCTACTGCTGGAACAGGCAACTGAGCTTAGAAAGATGCCGTCTGCGATAACGTTACAGGACTAGCAAAATAGGGTGAAAAAAGGCTCAAACCCTGTTTGCTAATCTTGAGATGACTTCTTCCAACTACAAAAACAGTTTATTAGCCACGTTTTTATCAACACAACATGTCCATTTAGGTGAGATTTCAGAAAGATGAGAAGGTGTAAGAATAAAACAAACCCTAATAAAATTAATTTTGTTCAGGTAGAGCTTGATCCTACATGTATTTAACCTATTAAAATCTCAACTCCAACTATTTATATACAACATTTCATCATTTACAAACAGACCTTATCTTGAAAGAAAAAAAAAAACTAATGGAGAATGTCATTTTTGAAACCCACAAAACACATCGAAATAGAAGAGAAGAACTTTTTTTATTTGTTGTGAAACTACAAAACATATTGTTTGGTTGTTTTTTTGTTTTTTTGTTTTTGTGCTGGTGAAATATTTACAACTCTGGTCGATAGTACAGTGTCTGAGAATAAAATTCACAGCTTTTCGGGACTCTCGCGATAAAAAGAAAAAAAAAAAACAAAACAGGAAAAGCACACCCAAATCACAAAGTGCAATAAATACATGCTGTATGTTTCTCATAGCCGCCTCCATACACATTACCAGGTTCATCACCAGTCGTAATACAAACAGATTCATTAGAAAAAAAAAAAACAATGATCAAATAAAGAAAAAATGCACTTAAACTTCAAAAAACAAACAAGAATTATATCACAACCTACATGATGAAAAAAAAATAATTATTTGTGACTAACAGCATTTGTTTATTTCTCTGAATGATTGTGATTTCTCGTAGCAAAAACCTACATTCCTTCATTCAGATCTTACATATAACTGAGTCTGATTTAGAGGTTAAACAACATTCGGTCGATCATGACAAAGTTCAATGGACTTTAAAACAGACAGTACTGTTGCTCAGACTACACAGAGTCCTATTCTTTACAACTACTCGCTCTACAGTGGTGGAAAACAAACAAACAAACTGTTTACATTAGGAAAATTAATGCAAACATTTTTCTACATTTCCAGCTTCTTTCGGATCAGACGATGGCGGCCAGGTTTGGACATTTAAGACAAAGAATTAAAAAAAAACAAAAAAAACAGAAATAAAAATAACAGTTTACATGTTGCGCTCCAAAAGGCACACTCTCTCACATAACTCCAAAGGCTTTCATTCATTTCACAGTGTTCCTGCTACAGTAAAACCCTCAGCCCCGTCAGAGTTCAGAGCTGCATTCACAGTGCAGGAGGAAACCTGATCTGAATACGACTCTTAGATATGTTCATCTTTAACAGAAACTAAACACGACAACTGTGGCCATGTGACCTCGGTCTGAACAGTCGGATTAGAATTCACTTGTTTGCTCCAGTTTGTCGTCACGGCAGTGGAGTGATTCAGAGGAGAGAAAAGTGAGACGTTCAGGTGTATTCGGAAAAAAGACTAAAAAAAATAAATGAACATACAAGGATTCAGACTGGAGAAAAACAACAACAGTTCCTGGTGAGTGCTGGGATCAGTCAAGAAAGTGAGCTGTTCATGATGCCAAATACAGCATCAGCAGCAGCTACAAAATCCTGGTGCGTTACATTTGACAGCACCATCAGGATGCATTATTATCCAAAATGTTGCTACAGAGGAAGAAACTGATTTCAAGCTGACCTTACTGTGTTTAAAAGCTGCTGGACAGGAGCTCAGACAAAGACGCTCTAACCAGAGACGTCTCAACAAGCTACAACACATTTATTTTATTCTATTAGACGATTGTCACTGATCAGCTGATGTCATTAAAAACAGAAGTGGGCCAGAGTTAATGCGAAAGTCTTGGTCAGACGTTATAAAGGCACCATAAATATCGACGGCCACTTTATTAGCCTGTACAGTCCACTGTGTTTCAATACAGCAGCTCAGCTATGAATTCTACCTTTAAATAGTTTATGATATCAGGTTTTGTTAGAAATTCAGTTATACAGTGTTTACTAGCGAGGTCATAGTTTAATGTCGGGTAAAAGTCAATTAAATTGTATTAAAAGGTGTTTAAAATGATTTTTGTCCTTCTAATTTATAGACAAGAGGGGGTCCGATTTATCAGAAACACCACATGTGACTTGACGGCAGATCAGTTGTCCTGGATTGCATTAGATTATTCAGGTGTACCTAATAAATCGGAAGTACAGTTACTCAAAAACTTCCATTTTATGCTACTCCGCCTGCATTTAAAGGAGATATTATGCCTTTTCTTTTATTTCGCATAATAACAGATTTAAGTTTAATATACTGACTTAAAGGGGAACACCACCTAAATTAAGAATTCCAATATGTTATTTCTATGGGCTTGGAAAGTTCATACAATATCTGTGAACATGAGCTGCTCTCTATTAAAGGCAGAAACTAGAGAAGTGAGTCCTAAACTTGTGATGTCATAGGGTAGAAAGTCTGGAGCTGCCCCATAAATAATGAATGGGAGACAGATTATATGGACCCACTAAAGGTTTTTCCTTTTTTATACCAAAATGAGCTTTATTCTGTTGTAATGTTTTCAGTTCTGAAAAAGAAGGTGTGCCCAGGAAAGTTCCCTGGTGCACCTCGTGTCATCTATAGTATCTTCCTAATTCATATCATCGGAACAACTCCAGACTTTATACCCTATGGCATCACAAATTTGAGTTCTAGCACTCTAGTGTTTGGATCTGGGAGAGGGTTGATCATGTTTACTGATATTTTTGGACCGTCTTAGAACATAGAAATGGGTGTAGTTCCCCTTTAAGTTCCTGATGTACTGCAAAACAGACATACGGTTCTGTTCATACTACATGGCACGAATGCGCAGTCAGCATGGTTGTAGGTGTGCATAGAATGCACACAGCAAACATGAGCAGATGACGAAATTTACAGCACTCAAACTACTGACTTTAGGATTTATTTGGACCACTGTTTCCATTTCTGTTTGTGTATTTCTTCGTGAGTATCCGGTGTTACATCTTTGGTATTGATCTTTTGTACGTTGTTCAGTTGAGACATGTGACTGTTCAGACTGATGTCGGCCAGAATCAAACATTTAGTTCCTGCAGTGTGAACGCAGCCTCAGTGTGAACGTCCTCACAGCATTCGATTCAGTTCCCATCAAGTTTTTAGTCTTTGTCTAGGCGACGGGTGAAGAGCTGTAGTGTCGTTTGATTATGTCATTGTGTGATATTCATCATTCTTGTGCAAAACATTCCTATATCTACCTGAACGTGTTGTGACTATCTTTCTTTTTGTACGGATTTAAAACATTTACAGTATTTGATTATCAGAGAACAAGGCTGACTGTGATTTTTTGGGACTTTTTGGAGATCACTGAAGGATCGGAGGGTGATGTGGGAAAACAAAGGAGCAGGAAGTGGAGACAGCTAGCAAGGAAAATAGGCCAAAATCAACTTCCTCTGTTTGTCTTAAACATACACACACTGAAAGCAACACATGAACTACTAAAAAAAAAAAAAAAAAAGAAAAAGAAAAAGTTGGAGGTCGACTCTCCACTGGATCTGATCTACAGTTCAAGCATTTCATGAGCTGCTGTTTATCTACAAACAGTGAGTCAGAGAAACATCTGGAATGACAGCAGCAGAGAGGTTTTCGTCAGCTACATTCGTGTTCACACCAGGAATGGAGACATGATGATATGAAGGGTTTGTGTCATGTGGTGGACACTTTTATCCAAAGCACCTAACGTACCCAAAGTACATGTTCAGCATGGTGACCCAGCAAGAAGGAAACTGACGATGACAGCGCAGGCGCCACAGAGACGAGCAGTTCATGACCTCAGTATATCTGTCAGATTTTATAAGGCTGGGCGAGACACTATGTTGAATATGACTTAATAAAATAACAAATATAACAGGTGTGGGTCCACTTTAAGACTGTAAACTTTTCAATTACATCCCCCCAAAGAGGAAATGTTGGAGAAACATTAGAGTTTGCCACTTTTATACAAGTAAATATCATTTTTACTTTTCATTTCTTTTTCAGCTGCTCTGTTATGTTGTGTTTCTTTTTTGCTACTTTGCCTTGATACCTCAACCAAGGACAGTTTGTTTGTCTGTTGCCAAAAAACTGCTGGTTTGATTTTCATGAAACTTGGTGGAAGGTTGTAGCACGGGCCAAGGAACAATCCATTCAAATTTTTAGAACGGATCTGAAGCAAGGGGTGGCTGAACTAATTATTTTTCGCTTTTGTTAACATTGTGAAATAGAGCATTTAGCCTTTGCGGAGGTCTGCGCTCTCTGAGTGCCCCTTCTAGTTTTTCCTTCATTTTGTTTCCTTGTTGGATGTCAGACTGTTCCTCTTGATTTAGAGCCACAAAACTGAAACTGACTCGACTTGTTTCCAATCTGTGATGTCCAAAATGTGTCATTATTTCGTGTTCCCTCTTCCATCTACCTGCCTACTTCCACTTCAATTACGCTAAAAAAACACCAAGCAGTGGCTCACCACAATAATTACATTTTACAACCGGGAGGCGTGTTCATGTGTTCATGTGTTCATGTGTTCATGTGTTTCAGGCAGGAAGAAATATTTTGTAACATGGGTCAACATGTCCCAGGAGTGATCTGACTCAGTGCACTGATTGTCTGCATGTATTCTCTGGCTGCAACTAACTGCTAGAAGTTAAAATATCCCCAACTTTTAATTTTTGCCGCACTTTGCTGCAGACACTGCATGGCAGCTCACCACAGTGCTTCACCACTGCTTGGTAAGTTTTCAGCATTAGCCATTTACTACATTTCCCAGAGTGCTTTTTAACAACTTGTTGCATTCCTTTTTTTTAATCTATTTATATTATATATCTCTCTTGTGATGAGTTAGTTTTGTAAACTGCCTACACAGCACCCTCTGCAGTTAAATTAGTCTTTGTACTGTTGTCACTACACTGTGTGTGAAAGAAACATAATAAGAAACTGGTCATAACAATGAGGTAGTAGGCAAAGAAATAAGAAAGCTTGTCCAGTTCTTATTGAAAACTAAACCTGTCTTGTTGCTGCAATGCATTCTGGTCTATTTTCTGCTCCTGCAGGTGTTTAAATCGGCCTCTGTGAATCTCCTCTGATGGATTTCTCTCTGTATGATTGGTGACAGTCGTATAAAACAGCGACTGAAGAGAAATGTCTCCCGTCTGACACTATAACCAAAGGTCATTATCAGATCAAATCTGTTTAATCTCAACATGATGTCATGTCTTCTACATGTGTCCAGTAATGATCAGGAGGATTCAAACGATTACAGCGTCTAGAAACACGAGATATATCCGCTGAGGAGTTTTTGCTGTGACGCAGATTAAATGTTGAGAAAAGCACCAAGGACAAGTTATACAGGAGCTGCTCAACATCCAGGTACAAACACAAAGAGTCAGTAAACAAGAGATGTGCCAGAGTCAAGGTCTGCTGCTGATTTGTAAGTTGGGTTGCCCTGGAAACAGAGTCAGACGTCAGTAAGCCTTCACTGAGCTGAATAGAAATCACGCCGCAGGAGCACAAACGGTTAACACTGTCGTGTCAGAGGTGTAGAATAAGAGTCACCCTGCACATACAGATAAAGTGGGATCTTTTTCTGCACTCTGACAAAAATATGAAAACACATTTTCTCCTCTGATTTTAAGCAAGGTTACTAAGCAAGGGCTCACATTTAACAGCATGAGGGGATTTTAATGTTTGATCGATGAAATGGCAAGTCGGGTCATCTTCAATTATCTAAAAAGATATTGATAAAAATATATGTTTGAGTCCTAAAGTATTTATTCATTCATGCTGCTTGGAGGGACTTTAAGAGAGTTTAAATTCCTGAAGGGCACTGATTCTCTAAATCCACTTATTTCAGAACATTTTTTAACCTTTTTGCACGCCCGGGACACCCGCACTTCGTAGAACTCTTAATATGCTATATGCTAAACATAGCTATGAAGGTTACATGTATATAAACATGCAGTATTGATTGATTAAACTTTAGACTTGCCAGTCACTGTGGTGATTTTGCAGTGTACCAGCACAGTACACAACCTTAATAATGCATCTCTCAAACTTCAAAACAGTCTGACAATTAAAGAAATCCTTAAAAGCATTACGTTCACCTTATTACAAGGGCCTATTGATCAAATATAGCACATGGGTCTTTAGATAACGACAACATTTTATCTCAGTGAATATATTTCTTTCCACAAGTTGTTGCAGGACAGTATATAAACTGTAATAAATATTGATATTACACTGTCTCACAGACGTGACCGCACTCGCATATTGGAGAAATAATCACCTCTGTTTTGGCACAAATGGTACGCAAATACCCATGTGCTCCACGCACCAGCACAGACAGTGAGCAGCTGTTCAGCTCTGCGTCTCACATCTGGGATGAGAAGAGAAACAAACTCAGCTGCAACGAGGCAGAGATGCTTAAATTTAGTAGTTATAGGTAGTGTACGTATAGGTAGTTATATAGCAGGCTAAAAAGGCTTGAAATTAGATTATATTAAAGGATGTTTCATTAATTTGTATGACTGAATTTGTGCTCATTTAATGAATGAAGGGTTGAATGACTTTCTTATAATAAGGGTTCCTTTTTTTCCCCTGGCAAAAAAGGGGGGATAAATAACAACAAAACAAACAACATCAGTATTGGTATCGGCATCAGCTAGTGGCCTAACTGTAATTTTAAACATGGATAATGGCCCATATTTTATCATCGGTGCACCCCTACTTTATGTGGCACGTTAGCAGAGAGTTGACTATTACAGATCCAGCATGATCATTCATTTGTCTTTAGTTGCTAAATGCTTCACTGTGATCTCCAACTTATCGCTAACTGCAGCTGTCTGCTGACAAGTTAGTGCACAGTAGGCTTTTTGAACTTTTTTTGCAGCAAAAACATTCTCGTGTTAGCCTGAAACAATGGAATGATTCAATACAGTAAAGTTGTGGCCCGTAACACCAAAACAATCAGCTAAACGATGCTACAAAGCTCAAGCAGAGGAGGACTGAGGAGTCAGGTGATAAATATCTGTGGGATCGTCCGTCAAAACACCTCTTTCACATTATACAGTCATTTCTTATCTATTATTAATAGAAAAATATTGATTAGTGCACCTTTAAAGACTTGATAAGAAGAAACAAAGGTGAGTGTTGCTGGGGCACCACGCTGACATGGATCAATATACACATTCAGCTGCAGAACAGATATGTATCTAAAACATCCAGTTACAGAGTGGGAACAGAGGGAAGGGAAGTCTGACATTAAAACTCCTTTTAGTTCACAGTCATCAAAAATACATTTGATCTTCACTTCCTGTGTGTGTGTTACGACAATCTTTGTGTGCTTCAACAATCAACAATCATTCCAGCGCATCCGAGGCAAAGGTTTTTGGATTTAATTCTTTTAATTTTCCAAAAACCCACATCAAGTTTCTTTTTTTTTTCTTTTTTTTTTTTTAAACTTTTACCTCAAGTTTATTTAAAGTGCAGACTATCCGATTAACTACCTGAGTGTTAGTGAGAGTTAGTGCTGTTTCTACACTTTTCTGAATGTGTGTGTCACTGGTGAGAGACAATCATTTTTTCTTACTTTCAACCTAGAATGAGAAGAATCTTTTCTCTTCGATCATCAGATCCAGTTTCATTCAGTAAATGTTTGAAAAGCAAAGACAAACTCCAGTTTTCCTCTCATGTTGTTGTATCGTGTGCCATGTTAGTGAAAGATGCCGATGATGCTTATTTACAACCATCTGTGCTGTAACGTTGTACACATAAGACAAGCTTCAGGTGTGCTCATGTTTGTCTGCGTATAAAGTTTTTAAAATGCTCTAAAAAAAAAAAAAAAAACACACCACTTGAAGATCAATATTAAATATCTCTTCAGTTTGATATTTGTTTTATCATCAGCTTTAGTTGCTTACTTTGCTTTAGTACCGTTGTTTGATATTATTTTGTGCTATTAATATACATATATATTTTTTTGTTTGTCCAACTGTGTCATTTTAGTACAAAATCCTTTGTATGCACATGTGCAGCTGTGTGACTTTGTGCTGGAATGATTTTAAACACCTAAGAGCCTATAAACAGCCGGTTAGTAACAGAAACACAACGCCATAAACAGAGTGGAAAAGATAATAAAAAAAAGAAGCAGTGCTATCACTAATTTACAAACAAAGACTATCCACATTAGAAATGCTGAGCTCTTTAAAAATGTGTTTCTTCACGGTTTTGAGTGTTTTTTCTCGACTAAACATATTATTACTGTTAAATTCTTCATAACACCGCCAAATGTTTGCTTCATGTGTGTGGGGACAGCAGGTTAAGACTCGAAGGGGAGGAGGGGGAATACTTTGAAATGCTTCTCTACACGTCGTCAGCCGGCAGGTCGGGGATGCTGGTCTTTGCTCGTGTGAAGAATGCCATCTTCTCTCTGAAATCAAACAGGAAACAGTCAGAGCAAAACACAATGAGATCTGCAAGGCCAAAGCCAACATGTGGAGTTTGGTGTCAAAGCGTTTGTAACAAATCAGTGATGTCAAACTTCCTGACTTGTTATGGTTAGTTAGATAAAACGTTCACTCTTACTACTACACATTTGTTCTTCTTTATTTAATGAATATTCTGTTCAGTCTGTTTCTCTGTATTGTAATTATGCTACATGTATTTCTGCCTGCTCTGCATATATGACATGCACTACATGTCTGCCCACCCTGGAAGAGGAATCCCTGCTCTGTTGTTTTGTGGAATCTAAACTTATTTGTATTCTTTTTTACAGACTGTAAAGACCCCTGAAATAAACTTGTGATATTGGGCTGTATAAATGAAACTGATTTCACTTTCTTTCCATTGCTTTCACACTGTTTTTCAGCTCTGAAGATGTTTATGGTCTCGCTATTATACTTACTAAAGCTATTTTTCTCTGCTTACTGTGATGAACACAATCCCAATGTAGGGATGCACGTTGATATTGGCACACCATCAGTATCAACAGATAAAGTCTTTAAAAAAATAAATATCTGCATTGGCCTGAAATTAATATTTCTGCTGCTATGACCTGCCGATAAGATGGTGTTTTCAAGGAATACTATGGTGAATTGTCTTTACTGTTTGTAAACACTCTCGCCAGTGAGAGTGAGACTAAAAGCCAACCCCAGATACTCGTTTGGCATTTTGCCCTGCTATACACCTGGGGCCTGTATCACGAAGCAGGATTAATGTCTTAGCGAGGTAACTTCAGGGTTAACCCTGGGTTTTCGGTCTCACGAAGCCGGTTCAGTTTTTATTGGGGTAGATCACCATGGTAACTTACTCTGAACGGCTATCCTGCTCCGGAGCAGGGTAAGTTCAGGGTTGAATCTGATCCTATAAAAAGCGCCACCCACTGGCCAATCAGCTGTTGACTCCGCTGACAGAAATGCAGCCCAGTCATGACGGGAAGTTTAATTCATTTGATTGATTTTGATTTGAAAGTTTATTTTGAACATTAAAAAAGAAAAGAAAGCAACAACAACAGACAATGAAAAGATTGTTCAAAAAGGAGTGGAAAGAAGTTGAACTTTCATCCCACCCCTTCATAAGAAAGAAACTGATCATTTGCGGACACTTAATAGCACCATTAATTAGTGCCAACATTTTGTTTTGTTGGAGGAAATGATCCCTGTTAAAGATAATGGGCCTAATTGACAGCTTTGCTGCTGGAAATGTGGAAAGTAGCCTATCATGTCTACACTTCATGGTGTTTGAGGGATTTTCCTTTTGGTTTTTTAAACAGGGAGACTAGGTATATTTTTGAACCAGTGATGAGTAATTTAACCTTCACATCATTTTATTTGCTACTTTGTTTTGCCTTGATTTTTCCCTCTCTCCTCCTCTATTTCTTCTTTCCTGACCCATTGATGTTTTGACAGGGGAATTTCTTTGATAAGCTTTTAGTGGCTTCTAACCTCTCCGGCACTTTTATTTTTTTAATCTTGTAAATTTTATACTGTCTGTTTTTAACATTATGTGCAAATAATCTAAACTAAAACTAAACATTATTCATCCCGTTATGCGTTGCCACGCATGTTTCCTCCTCCTGCAGCTGCCACGGTGTTGGCCTTTTCTGTAATGCTGATTTTCTCCTCCTCATATTTTAGTAGAATTAATCTCTGATCCTCACGAGAAATACTTTTTTTCCCCCTCACATACGGCACTCTGTGAGGACGCTCAGTGACGCTGCGCTTCTCTCATGATTGTGATTGGTCCATTGCATGCACGTTCACGGCTCTTGATAAAGCAACCCTGGGTTGAGTTACCGAGTTGGTATCTAGCGTCATGATACTGATTATCCTGATTGCCACTGTTAGGGTTAGTCAACCCAGGATAGGTTTGGGTAACCCAGGAAAGGTTGATCTGGCTTTGTGATACAGGCCCCAGGTCGCTACCCTTTTATAAAGCCCTGACCTCATCTGAGTGCTGTGGGGGTACATGTCCACAAAAACCTACAGACTGTGTCTGCCTACAAACACAGAGGGCTGTGTCTCTGCAGAAACATACACCACCACATACTGAAAGTGGGTCATAAGTGATGATTGAGAGGGGTTACATTGTGTTTTAGGAGAATCCTGCATAATATATATTTAATTAAGGGACTTCAAAAAATATAAATATTAGTACAAAAAGGTCATATTTGCCCTGGTTGTGATTATTGTCAGGACTGTCTCAGGGAGAGCTTCATCCAAGCCTGTTAGAGGGGGGTGTAATTGTCAGTTTTGCTTAACAAATGTTATATAAAAACAAATAAGGCATATTTTACATGAAACCTAAGTTGAAGTAGTTTGCAAAGTAAACATGTGCAGACATCAACATCTGCATTTGGCCAACATGAGCTGGCATGTGGGCAAAAAAACCAAAACAATATCATGCATCCCTGCAATGTACATAATAAATATGTGATATGAAAAGGTGTGGGATCCATTTTTGTACCTCTTGATATACTATCATGATTCTTTGCCCACTATAAAGATCTCTATGTTATATGTTGTATGTCACCGTACATATGGGGTTAATGAGGACTTAAAACAAACCTCTAAAATGACAAAGGAATATTTTAACTATCAGGAATAAGGAGACGCCAACACCTACACAGTTAATCAATTCCATCATCTGCCTCTTTCTGTCTGACCTTTAAAAAGTCATTATTCCTAAAGCAGACGAGGAAGTCGACTTTTTGGCTGTGAAATGTTTTTATTTTGCTGTCTATTGTTTATTGAATATTTTTTTAACAAATACTCTGTGCTGAATACAAACATCTAGACACATACAACTGAGTCTGGTATTTCAGAACTCTGTCCAGCTCTGACTGAGACTGACTGGTCAGTTTTTTCACCCACCTGAAGGTCTGGACCTCGGGGACCTCTTTGCGGCTCTGGCCCCTGATCTTGTGGACATCCTTGGCTGCTGCCCTCATCATCTTCTCCACCCGCTTCTCCTGTAGCTGCTCCTCATGAGTCTGAACAGGACCAAGAGCACAGTTCAGGGGAGAATCACAAATACTACACTGCTCTACATTATTTAAATGTAAAAGAAAAGTGCCCCTCTACAGGATTAAAGCTCGTGATAAGAACACTTCAGCACACCTGGTTACGTTGGTGAACGGATTTGAACTTATTCTTGGATGGTCACTTACCTGTTTCTCGGCCTGCTTGAGGAGAAGGCGGAAGCGTTCATCTTCTTGGACCCAGGTTGGCAGCTCTCTCTGGCCCTGCTGCCTCGCCTTCTCCAGCTGCGTCTTCAGCTCCCGTAGCACCCGCAGCTCCTGCGCCAGCCGGGCCTGCCGCGTCCGAGACACCTGCAGGTCCAACTCCAGGTCCAGGGACGTCCGCAGGAGGCCGTCCAGTCCTTTAACCTGCACAGGAGGCTGAGGGGAGGACAGAGAGGAATATGGTTAATCATTGTCATCATCGGTTAATCTGTTAATTGTTTTCTTGGTTCATCATTTGGTCGAAAATGCCCCTACAACTCCAGCATCACTTTGGTCATTAATCAAGGCTGCAACAGCAAAATAACTTTTAAAATCAATCCCTGCTGCAGCCTGTGAGAGATGAGAAAACACTCCTCCTTCCTAATATCATTACTTACAACAGATGCCAAATATTGTGCAAGCAATGCAGCTCCATCCATAACAGTCCTGTATATTTGAACACACTAACTTATAAGAGAGCAATGGCTGGAAGCCCAAATCTGGTACCTGAAGCCAGCAATGTATTTTATGTCTGCAAAAGTCTCAAAAGCCACCTGAGTGTACAGTAACACCTTGCATTATTTGCTAATACCATTACCAACATGTGGTTTGTGTTTGTGGATTTCCCTCTGCTGTGCAGCCTCAGGAGGGACACTGAGATTCTTGCTGCCTGCCTATAAATTAATAGAAGCTGGCAAATGTCAGAGCTGCATTAAACATTCAGACGGTTATTAAATATTAAAAGTTACTTCACTGGGAGTAGTCGGTGGGCTTTAAGACACAAAAAATGCAAATGGGCTCTGTGTCTCGGAGGAGGCAGCAGTTGTGGTGTGTGGTTGGCAAACCTGCAAGTTTGACTTCACTAAAACTGTCGAGAAGTGGAGAGGCAGGAAGATGACAGCAGAGATAGAGCAGATAATAGAAGGAGAAAAGCCAAATCACGGAAACTGTAACACAGTGTAGCTGCTGGAGTGAGGCATGCTGAGATACACTGCTGAGGTCCTGAACTACAGGGCTTCAACGCTAAGACTCTTTTTCGTCTTTGACTCAAAAAGCCACAAATTTGGTCATTTAAGTTCAAGTTTCAAGTTCCAGTTTATGTCTGTAATTCTATCTAAAAAATATACAGCTGAAATTACACATTATTTGTCTCAGGACAAGAGTATAAAACAAAAAAGCATCAGATAAAACATAAAAGCATATAAAGTGTACGTGTGAATAAATAAACTGAGTGCGAGAAAAAAATCCCCTTCAAAGACACAAATGCAAGTGCTCACACAAAATGATCACAGGCAGCCACTTATTATTTTACTGTCTAATTTTCTCAAAGGTTTTTGTTCTGTGTGACTGTATTAAAAGAACTACAACACAAGGTTAACATTGTTCCGCTCTAGTGGCTCAATAAGAACCATTTTCTGATGAAATGAAACTGCAGGCTCATTAAAAACCCTGACTGCAGCTGCTAACATGTTTAAAAACTGGATGACTTTATTTTACTTTTTAATGAATATCTCCCAGCAGAAAAGAGGGCGTCAGATACAAAGATGAATTTTATGGGGCAACAATTACTGATTTTATGCCATGTGGTTTGTCATAGTGATAAACAAGCAAAGCTGCATCTGGGATGCCTCGCGACAACCAGAGGGAAAGACTAGCATGTCCCTGGTGGTTAAAGACACTGAGCTATGATTGGTTGTGATGTAGTGTAGATGTATAGTCTGTCATGTGATGCCAAGAGTAAACATGACACTATCATTGCCTAATCTGTCACAATAACCATCTCAAAAGAAAAATATTCTGTCTTGTGATGCATTAACTGCTCTAAATTGTTTTTGCCCCACAGAGAGAGAGACAGAGACAGAAGCGAGGAAGTTGATTGTACCTTCTTCATGCGCATGCTGCGTCTCTCCGAGGCGTTCCTGACAAATGGAGACTTCTTGGAGAGGGTGGAGCTGTCGCTGTCACTGCGGTTAATCTAGAAAGACAGAAGCAGGAGAGAGTGAAATATTAATCCATGAGCCACCCTCTACATTTGTAAAAATTTTAGGAGGGCAGAGTTAAAAGTGTGTTAATCTCTGTCTGACGTGCTGATATTTGACTGTATTGTGTACTTCTGCTGCTGAGTTACCCTGCAGATGTACTGGCTCTGAGGTCCAGGGGAGAAGGTCTTGGAGCGGATGATGGTGTTCCCCCTCATGAAGGGGTTCTGCTGGTGGACGTCGTGGCGGCGTTCCTTGGGTCGAACCACCGAGCAGTGGTGGGACGGCAACAAGTTATCCATGCTCGTCTCTTTGTTTACCTGGACAAAGAACACACAGTGATAACAATAAGAAGACGTAGCTGGATCAGGGGAACAGAGATAAAACATTCTAATAAGGGGAGCGTTTTTAATGTCTGACAGGAGGGAAAATTATATTAACTTCACCCCTTTAAGAAATCTGAAAGTGAAAGTTTCTTCAACTTTGCCAAAGACAGAACAAAGCATCAAAAAAGCAACAGCAGTGTGAAGATTTCCAAAGCTAAATTTAGCCATAAAATGCTTTCTTTAACTCAGTCAAAGACCATTTCATGTCTAAATTTCAGCGTTGATTGGAATAGCTGTGTTGACAAAAGACAAGAAGAGAGGAGAAAAAGAAGAAAGCACAACATGACAGCAGGACGAACAATTCTACTGTAGCTCATTTCCTGGTCCAGTGAGTGTTGAAATTTGCCTCTGTGCCTCTTTAATTTTCCTCTGTACTACTGTTAAATGTTGGTGGAAAATGGCTTTTTGATTCTACAGGACCGGCATGAACCTGAAATTCACCACACATTTTATTTCAGATAAAACATTTCCTTTCCACTGCTGCTGCATTGTTTCCCTAGTTGTCCAAAGAGAGAGAGGAAATGTCTTCCACAATCCTGTACGACAAGTAACATCCCTTCAGGCATGATCAATCATCAGCAGATAATCACAAAAAGTTACCTTTTCCGTGATGGCTGGTGATGGCGGGGGAGGTTTGGTCACCTTCTCCTCCTCTTCCTCCTCCTCCTCCTCTGCTTCCCATTGGCTGCTGTCAGGATAAAACTCGTCCTCTTCCTCCAGAGGCCCCACCCCCTCCACGCCATTTCCTTCTTCATCATCAAACATGTCCAGAGAGTCGCCGTGCCTGACAGTCAACAACATAGATGCAGTTAGAAGACGAAAGAGAGGAGGATACGATAAACTGATGTTACCTATGTGCAAACAGAGACAGAATTACAGTGTCCTTCTGTCTTATTTGTGCATGTTTAGTAGCCGCAAAAGCTGCAGAATCCTTTTGTGAATTTGGCCACGAGTCACCGTACAGTCTGCTAACAGGCAAACATTTAAAAGCCAAATGTAAAATAGGTCGTAAAGATTTCTACAATATAAAATGAAAGCTACAAATCTGTCTGTTTTGCCTCTGTCACATGAATAACAACAAAGAGAGACGTTGCAAACAAAGGATGATGACAAAGAAATACTGAGTGGTCTACTTCCTCCGTTGCTGTGAAAGACGGCAGGTGTTGCATGTGTGTGTTGCGGGCACCATGACCTCAGGACACCTGCTGATTGTCTGATTGTCGTAGGACCCAGGGAGGGGGAAAAAGGAGGTGTCATTGAAAGGACAGGGGGAGGTGTATCCGAAATTCAAGCGGCTTTATTTACAGTCTGAACCTGCCGGGTAACATTCTGTCTGTGTGTGTTTGTCACTCCACAAACACTCATGTGGTAACTGACTACTTTAGTTGTGCTGTGTGAGGGAGAGATCATCTCAGTGTGAAAATATGAGGCGTGCAAACAAAATTATTAACATCCTGTCACTAAAAAAAATAAAGCTTACAAGAATGTGCAGAAAGTAGTCTGATCCTTTAATTAAGTGTCTGATAAAACAATGTTAAAACCACTCCATACTCCACTTGAAGTATTAAATATGTCATAGATTGTTAATACTGATGTGTGAATGTGTTAGCACCACTTTACAAGAAGTATTAAGCAGCATAAAAAGTAAATACTGAAGTGCAAGTACCTTAAAATTGTATTAGGCACAGTACTTGAGTACTTTCCACTTTCCACCGCTAAGAATGTGCTGTATTTTATGTTATTTGCCCCAAAACAAAGTCCCTCACAGAGGAATACAGTGTCTGAACCAATAGAGCTGCAGTGAGGCTTCTAAATAAGGGAGGTTGTGGCTTGTTTTATAAAGCAGTTAGACTGTTCACTAAAACGATGATTAATATGCCGCGTGATGGCACCATAAGAGGCACTGATTTATGATGAAGAAAAAGGATAAACAGTGGAGAGGACAGTGGATGGTCGAAACATGAGTGAAGAAGGGTATAAATTTAAAAATATTAGATGATGAAAAAGGAGAAACACTCACCACTCATCATCCTCAGGAGCTCCGACTCTGCTGTCACTGCTGGAAACACGAGTCTGAAACACAGAACACACACACACACATCAGGACCAAACATCTGTAAGTTTACCATGTAGTTTAGAAGTGTTGTTATGTAACAGTACTTTAAACTGTTTTACTACCAGTCTAACAAGTAAACATATGTTTTAGTGTCACTTTTGTTGCTTTTGTCTGCTGTTTTCTGCATTTTATTAATAAGTACTCTGTTGATTTTCTCAGTCTCTTCTGCAGCCAACTCACTTTCTTCGCCCTAAAAATATGCTTGTTCCTGACACATGACAGTATTTTTTGGGGGCAGTAACATTCTTACACATTTCCTGTTTAATTCAAACCTCTTTCCAACCACTCATTTTAGCACAGAGGCAAAATCTAAATGTATCTCTGGATGAATAAAGAGGGAAACTGGCCTCACTAACAATAAGCAGGAGCAGGCTTTCTGTGTGATCTAACTATTTTCAATAATACTTATGGATGTCAGTCTGAAAGTCACAGTATCAGTTCGTGTGTGAAGCGACAGTCCACTGGGTGACAGTGTGTCCCCCTTTTCTGTACCCTGTCAGAGCCGCCGGCTGCTCTGCTCTCTTTGTCCTTGTTGTTGATCTCGGGCATGTAGACGCGACTCAGCAGGTTGTACCACTTGGTGCATCTCTCCTCCGAACAGCTGACATCAGCCAGGCTGATTTGGGCTCCCGCCTAGAAGTGAGGAGGAGGGGAGAGGTAAGATGGAGGGATGTAACGGCACCAGAAGACAGAAACATCTGGAACACCGCAGCTCATCGTACATCTGTTTGGAAATTTCCGCCCTTAACATTTTGGTTTTCTTACAGTGTTTGAAATAAAACCATCCAATGAGTCAGCACTGCCATGATAGTGTTTAAAGGTATACTATGCAGGATTTGGGAACAAGCTCGCCAGCAAAAGTGTAAGTAAAAGCCAACCCCAGATTGACTCTCGTTTGGCATTTCACCTCGCTATATTTGCATTTTTATTTGGCACTGTGTCTCTTGGATGCCTGCTGCTTTCAGTCTGGCACCTGGCCACCACCTTTTTATAAAGCCCCGAAATCACCTGAATGCTGTGGGAATACATGCCCAGAAATATCCCGAACACAGAGAATAAAAAGAAAATAAGAAAATCCTGCATAGCATATCTTTAATTAACCTGTAAGCATTTTCATCATTACATTACATCATACAACGCAACAAACACATTGCAGGCTTGATATATATTTGAACACAGCACATGCGTTTTGTCACAACACAAAAAGTGTTAAAAACATCACAGATATGTCTTTAATTATTCATTTTACGTGAAGCACTTTGAAAGTGTCTCTATTTTATGTCAATTTCTCTTTGATACTTTTGTTCCTCTTAAACTTTAAAAATTTAACTGAATTTCAAACACCTTGAAACTGCCTTTGTGCATGAATTGTGCTACTTTCCTTGTCTTTTCTGTTTTTTTCTCTGTTTAAATCAGTGTGATTTTAAATGTTGAATGAGATGCCATCTTAAGATACTTTTTTCCAGTAATCCATCTCTTAAATTGTTTTCCTGACTGCTTACAAGGTACTATAGCTATAATATATATGAAATAAAACACAGAACTGGTGCAAAACATCTGCTTTTATTGTTTGGGATTAATGTTGTTTTTGAGCTAATAAATTCTACTAAACATGAATACATTAACAATCTACAACAAAACATTTCTGTTCTGTCTTTGCATCTAGAATAGTTTTCATATTTTACTGTTTGGTGTGATAATACCTTCAAACTATTAAACACAATTAAATTTTAGGTGCAACACAATGAACATCAGAGGAAAAAAATGAAATAATCACCACATGTTCCCTGCACCCCCAAATATAAAACCAGGAAGGACAGTTCTACTAACCAGACACTCTTCATGGCCCGACTTGCTAGTGTTGCAGACGTCGACCCTCAAAGTCTTCTGCCTCAGTGCACTGTGGGATATCTGCATGCTAAACACCTCGTTGACCTCCACAACGTCCTGAGGCAGATGGCCACGGGTTCGGAAGAGGCAGCGGGTGGCCTCCAAGCAGGGCAGCACCGCTGAGCGCACATATCTGCAGGAGAAACAGTTGCCATGACGCTGTGTGGTCACACTGATGCTTTTACATGTTTCAACATGTCTGCTGATTTACTGTTGGTTTAAATATGTCTTTGCTGTTACTTTCTGAATGAATGTTGATGCTGTGGATCTTGGCAGAACATGTTGAGCCTACGGGTGAAGGTGCAGTCACACTAATTATAATCTTTATTTATTCAATCATTGAGATAAAGATCTCTTGTACATGAGGGCCTGAGCAGCAGCCACCGACAATCACACACATTCCTAGAGTATCAGGTTAGTCATCCTGGGATCTCCTCTGATGAAATGTAGTTTTAAATTTGAGAAAATTTAGGGAGGCAGCTTTAGAAGCAGACATGATGGTCGCACAATGTTTTTTTTCTGTCTTACAGAGAAAAACATGCTGTATTCACATATTTTTTGTGTCGGAACCCGATTAGGCCGGACCCACCAGGTATGGGCTAGACCGTAATTTTTCAACATTCTCCCAGGCGTGAATTGGGTCGGCTTCTCGCCTATTTCCCAGTGTTAAAGCACTGCGTTTCCAGATGAATTAACAAGCACTTAAGTTTCACTATCACCGTGCTTGGCACCCTGCTGCTCCATTTCCAGAGTACGCTCTGCTGCCCCAAGTGTGTTGTGCTCTAAACTGAACGATATACCCCAACAGCGCTTCCTCCCGTTTGTGCCAGAGTGACTATTTGCCAGTGCACACCATGTCAAAAATGTCTATTAACCCAAATAAAAAAATTAAGTTTACTTTAGCTTGAAAAATAATGTTTAAATTGTATTTAGTCCTAAACTGCAGCCATATGTAGGGCTCTGATCGGGCTTGGACAGAAACTTTGCAGGTTCATGTGGAGTCGGCCTTATTTTATCAGCCCGATCAACACTCTAGAGCAAATTTCCCAATATTTATAAGAGTCAACAACTTTTATATCTGTACAAATATGTTTAGGGATGTCAGGAAGATGTAAGATAAGAGTTAGTAGTTTGAGGTTTTATAGAGAACAACATGACAGGGAGACTGTGATCTAGAGAAGAGCCATATTCACACAGAAGTGTATCATCTGCGCGGAAACTGATCCTGTGCTGTTTGGAAATGGAGGAGTCATCACTTTAGCATGTGCCATCATCCTGTTTTTACAATAACATATTTACACTATGAGTGTGTGTCAGTTTTTTAGACTGTAGGCTAATGTGAACGCATCTTACAGGCTGATATAGTTTGTCAAAACTCTTAGTATTCAGATAAATAATAAGCATGTAGTAGCGTCATTAGCTTGCCCAAACACCACTTCTTCTAATGTACACATTTGGAGAACCCCCTCAGACATGCATCTGTCTACAGACGCATTACACATGCCAGGCTGCACGCAAAAAACAGGACACGCCTGAGGAAAAAGTAAACACAGTAAACTATTTACTCTACCTGTCTCTGTCTCACCCACACATGCATTATTTGTTGTAACTGTGCTTTGTCTTGTGTTTGATCTGAATATATAAACAGCTTATTGATATAAGCTTTCAGTTTCTCCTTCTAAACCAGGAGTCTCTGTTCTTTTACTCTTGTTTTTGTACAAGTGAGATACATTTACACCTGAATTACTCACTACACAAGCGTCATCTAATAAACAGAAGTAAGGACGTACATTTTCTGGTCAGCCGGCAGACACAGGGTGCTGCAGTTGGACAGCTGCATGACGTAGATGGTGAAGCGTTGGTCTCTGGACTCGTAGCGGAAGCCAAGCTGCACTTGAGAGCAGCCCAGCGCCAGCCTCTCCTCGTAGGAGCTCAGGAGGAGGTCTGCAGGGAGGCCCGGCCTGGAGGAAACACAACCACACAGACATTCATACTTCTGTGTAAAATATCATGTAAGCTCAGGCTTCAAATTGTAATGTTCAAACGCTGCGTAATAGCGATGTAATGACCACATTAAGGTATGGTGAAAGTGTGAAGACATGACACGTCTAATGTTTTCTCTGAGCAACTACAACTTTATAGAAAGTGTAGGATCAAAGATTCAAAAGTTCTTTAGGTAACATCTGTAGTGAAAAGCTTTGTGGTAAGACTTATAAAATATGGATCAGGAGAAAGCGATGTAATGTACAGGGCAAATCAAAGGACACCATCCTGGACGTTCATCTTACAAACTGTATTGTAGATAAAAGGTCTTTGTACCTGCGCTCTGAAGGCTCGTACACGCCGCTATCACCAGCCACCGACTCTTCAGACACAGCTGAGGTCACGCCGATCTTCTTTGGCCCCGCCCCCGTTCCTCGAAGCTGGGGAGCCGAGTCTGAAAACAACAGGAGGAGGAAAATATGATGAAGATATCACTAAATTTACAAAAGATTTTTTCTTGGAGCCTGCATGTCTTTGAGACCAGTGCAAAGCAAAATAACACAAATACTCATATACTCACAAAAACTGAACAAAACAAATAACTTGTAACTGTAAATACAATCAATCACATGACACAATGACAAGACCGAGCAAAAAAGAGACAGAGAAATAGAAATCAGATGATATAAACCAAATGAAATAACCTTGATGAGTGTGTAAGGTGAAGCAGAATCCAAACACTGTGTGTGTGTGCTGCTTAAAGTCCATGTGTGTGAAAAGCAAAGGCAAAAGAGGAGAAAAACATCTCACTTGTAATAAGTTCAGGAGACCATGAGGTGCTCTTGAAGATGAAAAAGCTTGTGACAGAAAACAAAACGCTCTTCAGGCACTCTCAGGCAGAGCAGGAAGAGAGGTGAGGCTGATCCGATAAAACACAGACCTCGACCTAACACGGCCTTCATTAAGGTGGAAATAATAATGCGCTTAACTATAATGAACGACTCTCTGAGCTTGAAAAACTCCCACAAATTATATCGCTGATCTTAAAACAAGGAGCACATGTGTAATCTGACTACAGAGGCAGGTCAACAGACAGCAGAGGACAGTAGAGTAGGTCAACCTCAGCGCATCAGCGGAGTATTGGTTGAATCACTGATACCGATTAAAACCCTCTGTCAACACCACACGCTTATAATGTGCTTGTTTTGTGCTATGACATGCAATTAGGTTATTGTGGCTTTGTTAATGTCTACAGTGTAAACAAGACAACACAGTCTGCCTTTGCAGAGGTGGCACACCATAGCAGAGGATGTCCCATTAAAAACCTGTCTTCAAATACACCCAGCAGCATTCTGTGTTCCTACAGGTACTGGTGATGAGAGGAAACACAACCAGTTTGAAGGCTGATTCTAAGAGACTGAACGACAATTAATACTCTTTTGTTCCCACTGTGGGAAGTCATCACAGCAGTCAGTCTTGTAGAATTGGAACAATGCTAAGTGGTACGCTAGAAAGCAATCTACCTGGAATGTGCACATACTTCACTGGGCATAGCAGTGCAATGCTGGATGACATCGCAATAGCTGCCAACACACTGGTTTAAATAATATAAAATGTCTGCTTTTTTTATAACACAATGCTACTGTTGATGCGATCACAGCCTCACTGGGCTGTAGTGCCAGCCTGTGTGGAGTTAAGAGCCCGGTAACATGTTCAGCCCTGGCAGCAGCGATGGAGAGTGAAAAGGAAACCAGACACCACGTCCACCTTTCACCTGAAGCTGCAATGAGAACCTGTGTCACGGCTGCAGCGGGCTCAAGGCCCAGTTCAAACTTCAAACTGACCCTGAATACATTCATTCACTCATTCATTTTCCAGCTTATCCTGTTAGGGGTCGTGGGGAGGGGGCTGGAGCCTATTCCAGCTGACACTGGGTAAGAGGTGGGGTCCACCTTGGACAGGCCACCAGACTTTTACATGGCTGACCCCTTCATACAATTCAGTTTTAATTCAGCTCAGGGACAACTTAAATTTCCTAGATATATCATTTCAGATGTCCAACACGACGTATAAGCATTTATAAATCTAATTAGAAATCACAGAAAAAAGACGCTACCCATAACTGCAGAACCTGCCTGAAAATCATCATGTTTTAAGGATCCTTCAGTATCAAAGAACTTCACCGCTATTAGCTAATTCAGCATACTTTTAATATGTTGCTTTGTCCAACCAAAAGGCAAAAATCTCGAGTTTACCATGATATAAAACAGACAGTGTTCACGCTTTTTTGCTTAATATAAAATGGTTGTTTTTAAAAACTGATGTTTTCTGTCGATCTACTTATTTAATTCATTTTAATTTCACACCAAATTCAGTTCCATTACTCTATTTTTTACTCTGTTTACCTCACTATATACTAACAGGTATTATAAATGTTAAAACCACCTGAAATGCATTTCAAACATGAGTTCAAACAGCACACACACAATGGTGACCGGGCAGCTGTAATCCAACACCCTCCCAACCTTCACCTCCTCTCTCTTCATTCGTCCCACCAACAATCAGGTTTCACACACAGTATTACATTTCTCATCACACACACAGCGAAGAGGAGGAAGATTCCTGGTATCCTGCTTTCCAATAAAGCTGGAGTGTCTTCTATGACGTCTAGTGTAACAGAGATAAAGGTGTTACATCACCAGGATCTCTGCCATCTCTCCTCTCTCTCTCCCTCTTATTGCTGCTCATCTAATTGCAGATAATTCATCACGACAATCGTTCTCGTGTTATTAACTGGGATTATCATTTGGGTTGTTACCCTGCAGCCCTGCTGAGTGATTATTGCCAGCATGGTTTTATTGCTGTCAATATGTGACGTTATTGCTTTGAAGACTCTGAGCCACTCACAAGTTAAATGACAAATCACACTAAATCACACAACATGACAATGTGTCTGTGCACAAGATCAGCTCCTTATAGAGATGATTTTTCCCAGTTTGGTGTGAAAGAATCAAACTGGTCTGCACAGAGCTCTAACCTCAACATCATCCAACACCTCTGGGATGAACTGAAACTTGGAGTGTGAGAACATTTTGGATGAAGAAGACAGAATAAAGGAGCAAAAGCTTCCTGTTTACCTTTGACCTCCTCTCCCAGCGTGGTGTTGTGGTTCTGCTTCTCCTCCAGCCCCCCGGGACCCCCGAGCTCCTCCTGCCTCTGCTCCTGAGAGTCCAGGCTGAGCTCCAGTTCTGCTAGCCTGCTGTGGAGCTCCAGATCCAGGCTTAACCCACCAGGCCCTGTTTGGCCTGTGAATGTCTCTCCAGACAGGAAACTAGTGTCTGTGACCATCGGCGAGCACGGCGGAGACAGCGAGGAAAGAGACGACCGCGGGGATAAAGAGCTCATGGAGCGAGGGGTTTCTGACAGTCTGAGCGCCTGTATCCTGGACGACCCCGATTCCACTCCGACACCACTGCCTCCTCCTGCGCCTCCTCCAGCAGAGCACCCCACATCTCCTCCCACCCCGACTGCTTTGCTCCCAGGCCTCTCAGCGTCCCTTCCTCCGGAGCCTGTCACCACTTCATGTTCGTGTATGGTGGTGATGGAGCTGGAGGGGCGGTAGCCTCCCTGGCCGCCCTCCTGCAGGAGGCTGTCCAGCTTGTTCTGAAAGTCCGGGTCGGCCAGTTCGGGCTGCTCTAGGTAAATGTCAGTGAAGCTGAGGGAGGAGGAGGAGCCCATGCTGGAGGTGGTGGCCAGTGAGCCGCGGCTGGACGTTAGAGAGCCCCGACTGCTGCCAGACGAACAGGACAGCGTGCTCGCCGACAGGCTGGAAGAGAAAGAGACAGTTATGATCTGAGATGAAACAACTGCAATTTAATAGAAGATTTCTCCTGTTCCTTAACTGTTATACTGTTAATCATAACAGTCAGTAATGTTCCCAGCAGTGGCACAGAAAACAGCTGTGATTTTGAGTATAGAATTTGGCTGATGACTGCAACATGGACTTGAAACAATTTAGAAAAGGATCTTTCAGACCCAGTCTCACCTTAATAGCATTGCTAAAATATAATAACTTGCCCTACATATAGGGTTTCTGCAGGGTTTCCATGTTAAATTTAAGACATCTTCATAATACAGTATAGAACAAAATTTTACTCTCCTTTGATGATACCCAGCCTCCTTACCACTGTAGTTAGCAGTAGTTACAATCCCACTTTTAGTTTATAGGCATATAATGTCTCCTGACAGCCAACAACCAGATACAAAAACAGTTAAAAACTAACATCACAACCCACAGCAGGCAGGAGAAATTATTATTATTGCTTCTGGAAATTAATTTCAATGCTTTTCAAGACTCTTTAAGGCCTGCAGATACACGACACAGCCGAAATTCTGTTTAAAAACAAACCCTAAGGTACTGTAACTACTTCCTTAAATGTCTCTGAAGAATCCCTGATGATCTGAGGGGGATTTCAGGTTTTAAAAAAAAAAAATCATTTCATAGTTTGAAAAAACAACTGTAAATTTCAATAATTCACAAAATGACACAAAGAAGAGAGGGCTCGGAGGGAGTTTGGGGGATGACAGCTGAGGTAGCGAGGGAACAGTGACACTGAGTCTTCGGGCAAGAAGAGGGAAGAAAATTCAGATGAAAAAGAAAAGAAGCTGCATGGTGTGTAGAGCTGGAAGCAACACTGCAGGCAGACTTCTGTCATTCACAGAGACTCTGTTTGCCACTTTCCTCTCATCTCATATTCCTTTCCCTTTCTGGTCTCGTCCATCCTTTCCTGCCTGCACACTCTTCTCTATTGTCCCTAAATATGTTTGAGAATACGTGACTGAAGATGTCTTGCCTCCTGTCTCTGCGTGTATGTCATTATCCATCAGCTAGAGAGCATAACTGTACACATTAGAAGCATTAAAGTGCTGCGTGCCCCGCTGTCAGTCACCAAAAAGCAAGATTTTGCAGGTCCTGATGATGCAAGATGACAAATGTGTCATTGTGAGCATTTTAGCATAATACCATTAGCAGTACAGCCTCACAGGGCCACTAGCATGGCTGCGGAGTCTTGTTCCACATGACGCATACTGTTGTCAAAATTTAACAGTGCAAAGCTTTTACTAGGTCTCAGAGTGCAGCTGAAAATCAACGTATGAACCTGTTATAAACAAATTCCAACAATTTTCTAATTTACTATGTTTTACGTCTTTAATAAAGCACATTATATAACTTTTATGAAAGTGTTATATAAATGAACTTGTCTTGCCACAAGTTGTTTTTTGTTTCGTTTCATATCACTGAGCCCAGCAGGCAAATGTTCAACACCACTTAAAAGCTTCAAACCAAACTGAGGACCTAAAATACACCTTCAGTATTGGTCTTAAGGGACTACTTTCAGGAGGAAAGTGGAGTCATTTTCTTCCTCCTCTCTGTCTGTCCTCTACTCTCATCTCATTTCCTTTGACTCCCCACTCCTCATCACCTCAGCCCTCCTGTAACTCTGTAAGAACAGCTCTCTAATTAAAGCAGGGAGGCTCGTTAGCGCAGACAGAGAAAAGTTCCCAACCCAGCCCGGGGAGACTTTTGATGTCCATCAGACCAGCAAGACAGACGGGATGAGCGAGCCATGAGATGAGAACAGAAACAGAGAGAGGGCGAGCAACTAGCCCGAGGAGGACACAGAGACGACCGACAACCTCTCAGATTATCAATGTTCGACTCAAAATGCGAGACTGTTAAATATTAAACGATTCCGAAACAAGCGCAGCTCTTACAGCTGCCTTGCGTCATCTCATAAAAATGTAATTCCTGGGGATGTTTCTGGGTTGGGCTGGAAAATTTGATTTGTGGCGAGATCATGACTGAAATCAAAAAGACGAGGAGAACAAAATGGCTTTCATCTTCGGCTAATGTTTGGTCATTAAATGTTAAATACTCCCATCACGCCACATTTCTCAACTTCCCCTTCACTTCAAAGCGCTGCTCTCTTTGACTGCCTGCTTTGAATCTGATGACTAAATAATCCCTCTTCAGTGAATCATCTGATGGCCGACAACCTTGTATGAAATATGTTGAACTAAAGATGCCTGATGGAAATGTGTTGAATCTGGAGCATCCCTGAGCTTTTAGTCTGCGCCTTTAATCCCACATTTTCCTTCGTAAACTGTCTCTACTTTACTGAAGATGAAAGTTCAGCCTGGGCTTCTAAAACTACCTGAACTTTAACCTTATTCTACTCTTAATTTTTTACAAGGATGGTTCAAGGTCAGAGAAATAACTTGGTGAGTACAATGGTATTATTACTGATACCTTTTGAGCTGAGTATGTAGTGATGAGGCCAGTCGAACCATCTCCTCCAGCTCTCTGACCAGCTTGTTCCTCTTACAGTGAAGTCGCAACCTGCAATGACAAAAAAATGACTTGGTAAACAAACAAACAAACATAAGTGGTATGGTTGTTTTTCAATCAGCTACAGGCCTGCGGGTGGAAAGTCACATCGTAATCTAATCAATTAAATCTTCTTAAAAGAGGTTGAACATGAGTCATCTTCACATTTTAGGGAAATAAAAAAAATAACTGAACTCTCTTGCAGCGCTGGAGCTGTGAGCACTTGAAAAAAGCAAACAAATATGACACAACGGCAGCGATGCGTTCGGGTATTGTGAGCAGCTGCTTTGTGTTCAGGTGACAGCGGCGTCAATTGTGTGAATGAGCTTTGTTTGGAGAAAACCAGTCCATTAACAGCTGTTACGATGATTCATGCTTTGAGTGGAAACAGGCCAAAGAGAGGAGAAGCCTTTGATCGGGTTACAGATTGCTGCTGGTGTTGGTGTGTGCGTGTGTGTGTGTGTGTGTGTGTGTGTGTGTGTGTGTGTGTGTGTGTTCATGTTAAATTATCTTTGTGGCCGTGTTTCCTGTCTAGTTCTTCTATACTGTTCATCCAGTATGTCTTTGCTTTTCTAAAGCTGGTGAGATGTGTGCAGTGAACTATGGCTGTTTATCAAACCTTAAAGGGATAGTGCACCCAAAAATGAAAATTCTCACCTAATGAGGCTAAAAACAGAGTTCCAATAACGTTTTTCCAAACAACTTTTTATGTCGGGGCTTCTGGACACTTGGATCACTACAGACGAGCAGTATGGAGATATTTTGTGGTTTCAATTATGTGTTTTTGGACGTTTGAATCTGGGGTGCTGTCAGCCTCCATTAGGTGGAGTTGTGTTGCTACCTCCTCTCCCCTTGGATCTCTGCAAGTGATGTGAGGACTCTAAAACTTCACCTGAGTCTCCAGTGGCATATGGGTGAGTAGATAATGGCTGAATTTACATTTTTGGGTGCACTATCCCTTTAAGCGATCAAAATGTGTCTGTAGCACAAAGAATCTAAAAATGTCAAGTACTAAAAGCTGGCGTCAGATGTCTTGTCAGATTCAGGATTTTGTTTACTTATGCTCTGATCTGATACTTCCTCTTTTAAATGAATATATCATTAGTGCTAGGCTGTGTTCTCATTAGGCATTGAAGCATTTACTCTAGAGAACTTTGGCTTCCTTTGTTAAATGAAAGAAAATAACAAACAAAAATTTCAATTAATAACCAGGTCCACTGTGTCCATAGTAACTGAGAACTGACCTGAGGTGCAATCTAAGCCAGGCCCCAAATTATATTCAGTCTAACTGGGTTAAGTAGGGTCCCACTGTCACAGGTTTCAGCTCTGTGTGTGAATTGGGCCACATGTTTCTGTCCGAACAGAATATGAACCTGAATCCGAGAGAGTAGTAACAGAGACCGACCTGAACCCAGCATGCATTCTGTTTTTTATGTCCAAACCCGACCTGAGCCTGGAGCCATTAATACAAGGAAAACACTCTGCTTCTCTGTTGCTGCTGAAACATGCAGGTGACCCTCTTCACACTGCCTTCTATTTGCTTGAGTCACTTTGACGGGGAAATGGAAAGACAATATAGCAAGGAAGCGGATATTAACTGGGAAGAAAGCATGAAGCAGTGAGAGCCATGTCATGTAGGACAAACCTGACCCCAACCATAACCTCATTTGTAAATATTAACCTAAACCTGACCTGGCCTGTCAATTTGGTCAGGCGAGGGTTAGATATCCACTCTAGTGTAAATACAGGGTATCTGCAGGTTTCAGTAAGTTAAATTTAAGACTTTTTAAGACCTTTTTAATGCCACCTTGAATGGAATTTAAGACCGAAAAAACTATAAATATAAGCAATGGTTGGGGGATCCCGCTGTACTATAACCAGTGCTTAATTTGTAAAATTAGAAGTGGGGGAACACTTTTTTAAGCGGCACCCGAGCCACTTCACTGCGCAACTCCAAATGGAATGGTTGTGACATCCAGTGTTGTCACGGTACCAAAATTGGGACCCACAGTATGATACCAGTGAAAGTATCACGGTTCTGAGTAGTATCATGATACCACAGCAAAAATGAGGCAGATGTGCCTTTTGTCATTTATAAAAAGATAAATAACTTTTCTATAATACATCAATGATATTTCAGTGGAATAAATGACTTATTGACTTATTCATAGAAAAACAGCATCAATAAGTGATGAACATAGGGGGGATCAAAATAAAATAAATAAATAAAATAAAAATCAACCAGCCACCCTCCTCCCCTGACAAGTAAAGAACAGTCCCTTCATAAGAACAGTCCCTAAAGTGCGGTGAGGTTTGTGGACCGTTACCTGCCACAGAGAGAAATGTGAATGGCAGTCATGACGCCAACAAAAGAGGAAATTAGGCTACTGGACCTGGGGTCGGATTTCTCTGTCACCGCCGGTTATTTTGCGCCGCAGAGCCGCCGTAGGCTATTTGACCACCGTATTCCTGTCTGTGACCCCCGTTCAACCCACAACCAGCAGGATTCACCTTTCGTTTCTGCTGCTGGTTGAAATCTGTACTTGCACAGCGTGCTGAATGATTTATTTTGCTGGCACAAAACTATTTTTAGTCGCAAATGCAAGTAAAATGCTCGCACGTAGAGCTCTGTGGAAAACAAATCACTGCTGACAAGTAAAAAGTCATAAATAATAACTTTCACTGCTCAAAGATACTCACATGTCTGGAAAACAAACCACTACAGCAGCATATTGAGTGCCAGGTGGCCAGCGCGCGCCATTAAGCCCTTTTCACACAGAGCGCGCAAAGCGCAGACCTCCGCCGACGAACCCATTCATTGTGTATGTGCTACTGCCAGCGCGCACCGTTATTACGGCGCATGAATACTCACAGAAAAGTGCCGCGAGAATAAAAAAAAGAAAAGAAAGAAAGTCAGATTAAATATTCCTTCCGCAACAATTTTAAGACCTTTGAGTAATGAATTTAAGACCAATTTAAGACATTTCTAATGAATTTTCAGGCCTTACTTTTAGATACATGAATTTAAGACTTTTCAAGACTTTTAAAGGATCCGCGGGTACCCTGAAATATATCAGATTAACAAGTGCCTCCAAGCAGACTGTGTATCTGCACTGAACCTGTGGAGCATCATTATCATCACAACATAAAAATAAGTTGAGGCAGAAGGACATTTATCGCCCAACTGCAGTTCAGATCAGGTCTAGTTATCCTCTCACCTATTCAGACCAGAATCTGACCCTCTCAGGTCTCTTTCACATTATGTCTCAAATTTTCATCAACCAGTGACACTTGTGGGTTGTGTCACAAAATGTTTATGGCAATGTGTCAGGAAGTTTCACACTGCATTTAAAACTTTTTCAATCATACTAAAAGCAAGTTTTCTGTGAAAGTTTGGGGTTTGATTTTACAAAAACATACACCAAGAAACACATCCATGCAGAAGTTTTCATTTATTTTACCTGACTGGAGCTCTTTACAGGAGTGTGTGGGTGTTTTCAGACTGACATCTGCATCCCTCTTCGGCTAGCATTGCAACATATTTTTAGAGAAGGGCAACATTTGACATTCTCATTATGACCTACCACACAATGCTTTAGCGGAGCTATGCCAAACTTCAAGCTGAGTGGAGGTCTAATTGGCCAGAATACCTGATAATACCTGCGCGGCAGTGTGAAGTCTCCAAAAACCTCCAAAACAAATTAAAGACTCAAAGAACCTGATTCAGTGAATTTGACATCTTCACAACCTGCAGACATTTAATACGTGAGTGTGCATATTTCTTGTGTCAGTGTCAGTGTGTGTGTGTGTGTGTGTGTGTGTGTGTGTGTGTGTGTGTGTGATGCGTAGGTGGACTACAAGAGGTTTCTTTTGTGGCCAGGCTCTGCAGCCTCTCGGGTTACAGGAACAGGAGATGAGACACAAAGAGAGACTGAGCTCAGGTAGAGTCTGACCTGAACACCGAACAACAAGAGTCCTGTTAGAGCAGGAGAGGAGGGGAGAGGAGGGGAGAGGAGGGGGCGTGCAGGATCTTGGTGGTTCTGGTTTGCTGCCTGCTGCCATTTAAGAAAAGAGAAAGTGGTACACAAGGAGGAGAGCAGGAACAGAAAGGATGTGGAGGTATAGAAGATTTTTTAAACGAATAGTGAAGGGGGTGAATAAGAGGAGAGGAGAGGAGAGGAGAGGCATTTTATAGACCAACAACTAACCAAATAATCCAAAATATAATCGACACATTAATCGACAATGAAAACAATCTTCAGTTGTAGCCCTACAGGACAGGAGAGGCGAGGGGAGGAGACAAGAAGACTGCCAGGTTCATCTCTAACTCTTAATAATCATCAGGGAGGTTTGACGTCTCCAAAGGCCAAAGGAGTCAAACAGAAATAGAAGGTCAGTGGTTTCATCGGGAGACGAGACATTAATGGCCACAGTTACAGACATCACACTGCTGTCATCACCTTCTCTAACCTTCACCATGACACTGTTCTCACCAGCTTTAGACATGCAGTAAAAAGCAGACGGACTGGTCCAGCTGTTCTTCACTTTCAGTGTCAGCTAATGTCAGACAGAAACCTTTTTCCTGTCCTCCCTTTTAGTGGGTTATTATTATTTGTATGTTTACATTTATGTGCAGATTTTGATTAATAAACTTATTCAATATTCTCCAGAGACCCCACACACACACACACCTCTCAGTCAAAGCCTTGCTCTGGTTGTCTCTGGCAGCCTGCAGGTCTCTCTCCAGCCGTTTCTTCTCAGACTCCAGCTTCTCTGCGTCGTTGGGCTGCAGGCGTTGGCGGGGGCTGACGTACTGCAGCTCCTTCAGCAGCTCCTCCTTCTCGTTAATGAGGATGAGGCGATCTCGTTCCGGGTCCAGCAGCCCCGGCCAGGCCTCGCTGTCCAGTTTGGCAATCTGGACCTCGATGGTGGCGATCCTGAGAGAGGGAGAGGTAGAGAATGAGGGTCAGCTTAATTAACAGCTGACTTGTACTACACAGATCAACCTGATAAACTTCTGATATTCAAGCCATTAATTCAATCTCTGGCAAAGAAAAGTATATCAAAGTTAAATCTTTCCTACATGCTACATGCTCAGTGACATTTGTCTATTATTGCTTCTATTTCCAGATGTTCTCATTCCATGTGCCAGTACTTAAGTGGTGGATAAGTCAGCTAGTACTTTTGCAGCTCCTCAAATGACACAACAAATTCATGCAAGACTAAAAAACAGTGAACATAAAAGTTGCATTATAAAAGGCACACACACACACACTAACACACAGACAAGTCATGTCTACCTTCTCTTGGCCTCCTCGTACTTCAGACTCAGACGAACCTTCTCTGCCAGTTTGTTGGTGCTGGTCATGAACTGAATACAAACAGAATATTGACACATGATGGCTGTGACACACATCAATATATTAACTCACAGTCAGATCCTTTACTTAACTAAAAGTGCACGCACAACATTGTAAAACTTTTCAATTACAAGTCGTCCTGCATCTTAAAGGGAAATTTCGGTTTATTTCAACCTGTCTCCTATCGTCCTAAATTTGTTTCAAGTGACTAGTGACATAAAAATAATAGTTAGCATGTTAGCCGTTAGCCTAGATACAGCCGGGGCGCATAGTAGCGTCAGACCTGTTAAAACGTAAGTGAACGGGCAACCTTCAAGTGCAAAGTTAGTCCACTAAACAAGCTTTTTTTCCACAAAGACCGCCTCATATCGTTAGGATAAATGTCAGAGAACATATAGAAAACGACATGTAAACGTGTTGTCTTACCTTACCGGTGTGCTGCCATGTTTGTTTACCATTTAGCTCTGCTTTCCAAAGCGCGGCCGAAATATCGCGAGAACAAGCAGCGATCTCATACCGTGCCTGAAATCTCGCGAGAACAAGCAGCAACAGCTGGAAGGCAGAACCGGACAGTAGCCTGAAAAGTTCATTCATTTATTTTATGAAAGATTTATAGAATAATGGCTGACTTTTTGCCAGACTTCGACTTTGTGGAGGAGGAATTTGATTTTGCAGAGTTTGATGGCCGCCCTTATTTATTTGAGCCAGAATACACTGACGAAGAGCTTCGTGAAATTGAAGAACGGAGGAGGAGAGAGAGAGAGGCGCAACAGGTAGAGGACGAGAGAGGAGGAATGGCTGCTGCAAGGCTGCGTAGCTCTGGAGATTGGTGGTGTACCTGTGAATGCTGTGCCCCAGTGCCCACAGAAGAGGAATGCCTCTGTTGCAAGGAATGGGACCGGTTGCAGCCTTATTTTCAAGGTCTGGATGTGACCGAGGACGAGACACCTCCACCTGGAGTAGTATCCAGCTGGGCTTTATCTAGAGCTCGCGAGATTTCAGGCACGGTATGAGATCGCTGCTTGTTCTCGCGATATTTCGGCCGCGCTTTGGAAAGCAGAGCTAGATGGTAAACAAACATGGCAGCACACCGGTAAGGTAAGACAACACGTTTACATGTCGTTTTCTATATGTTCTCTGACATTTATCCTAACGATATGAGGCGGTCTTTGTGGAAAAAAAGCTTGTTTAGTGGACTAACTTTGCACTTGAAGGTTGCCCGTTCACTTACGTTTTAACAGGTCTGACGCTACTATGCGCCCCGGCTGTATCTAGGCTAACGGCTAACATGCTAACTATTATTTTTATGTCACTAGTCACTTGAAACAAATTTAGGACGATAGGAGACAGGTTGAAATAAACCGAAATTTCCCTTTAAATCATATGTGAGTAAAAGTAGGGAAGTGTTATCAGCAAAATGTACGTGTTTTGCAGTAAAATGTCCCCTCACTGTCCCCATATTATTTTATATGACATTATTATATTGTTAATACTGATGTATCAATGTGTACGCAGCATTTAACTGTAGGTGGAGTTTTTTTTAACTACTTCATACTGAATACAATTAGCTAGTTTAGTCTAGTTGTTCTTAACCTATGAGACAGCTGTATTAGAATGTTTCATAATGATTAAGTAAATGAATTAAATCAGCCAATATCTGATAAAATAAACCAACAACCCTAAAAATCTTTCTGTCCTAATATCTTTGCTTTACACTTGGAAAAACACTGATACCAAGCCCAGTTTTTGAAAGGTCGACTGGTCGTCCATCTCTGTCAACTCTCAGGAAACTGTCCCAAGGTTAAACATATGCTAGACTGTTCCATGTTGTCGCCATCTTTGACCTGTCTGACAATATTTAATTTCGTGCTGACTTCTGCAGCCCAGACCAAGACCCAGACTGTTTGGCATCTTCTAATGCTGTAACTGGCAAAAAGGTGAAACTGAGATCCTGGCTGCGGACTCACCTCAGCTGGGATGTCAGTCTGCGAGCCGGCGTCCGAGTAGAGCCGAGGGATGGACAGCTCCGAGTTGGCGAGCGAGGGACTGCTGCCCCACAGCTCCTGCTGGGAGCCCGAGTCCAGCTGGAAACCGTCCTTCAACGCTGCGAGTTTCTGGATGAAAAGAAGAGACAAAAAAAAGGTCTGCTGGAGATTACATGAATCAAAACATGAATGATCAGCGGGGAGAAACTGGGACACTGCAGCAGGAAACTACTCATGGAATAAAAATAGGATGTGATTAAGGACAGGGAGAAAGATTATTACGTAAAGTGACATTAAAACATTTTAAACAGGGAGCAAATCAAGACGTGACACTATCAAGAATAAGACTGAATACAATGGGACGATGGGGCAACATCCATCTTGTATTAATTGCACCTTAAACGGTCAATTGTTTCTGAATCAAACATTTTGTCCATTACACTCCAACCATTTATCTGATCATCGAGGAACTGAAGCTTCCAGGAATCAACTATAAAGCGAAGTTTATTCGACTCACTGTACAAAGGCATTCAGTGAGAGCTGCTCAGGGCAAAGAGCATCTGCAAAATGACAAAACTGTGAAGTGTAACAGACTGCCTCCTCTGTGTTTGCTGCATGTTTCCTATTGGTTACAGTGATGCAGCAGTGTCGGTGAAGGCTGCCGCAGTCATTCTTTCATCTTTACAGCCATGATGAATATCTTATATGACTCTGCAGCTGGTTTTGAAGCCTGCTTAGGAATGCACCTTATCTTTGCTTCTCAGATGGGGCAAAAAAATAACATACCACCTCTGTGATAAGTGGCGTTTACGCACTTTAATGATGCAGCTTCTCAACTGACTCTCAGTTTCAGACTTTTCTTTGTCTCTTCCTGGGTCTTGATTTGGCAACATTTCAGCATTCAGGCTACACATGGCTGTTATACTGAATGGCAGCCCCCGAGCGGCAGTCAGAGAAAAGTGTTTTGATTTATAGTTGAAAGATTTCATTACCCAAAAATCATATACTGAGTGCTTCATCAGACCTGCCTTTCCTCTTAGGGCTCTGGAAAAAAAACGACCAAACAGGTTCAGCTGATGCAGTTTTCTCTGAGTGAAGCATCTGCTGAACGATTCGGAGATCATTTTCACACTCAATTTATCAATCCACATACTCTAAATTTAAAGGTATAGTATGCAGGAATGTTGCTCTCTGTTTGTAATGTTCACCAGTGACAGTAAAAGTAATGTAAAAGTAAAATCAAACCCCAGATTTTCTCTCATCTGTCACTTTGCCTCGCTATATTTGCATTTTTTTTTTTTTTTCTGGTGCTGTGTCTCTTGGATGCCTGCTGCTTACCGTCTGGCACCCAGTCGCTACCTTTTTATAAAGTCCCAACCTCAGCTGAGCGCTGTGGGGGTTACACACCCATGAGTACAGAAAATAAGAACATACAAGTAGAGAGCTGAGTCTGCAGAAAAATACACCACCACACACTTCTAGTGGGTCAGAAGTGATGACTGAGATATACATTGTTTTATAGAAAAATCCTAATATGTCCAAAACCCAAAGATATTCAGATTATTATCACATAAGATGAACAAAAGCTGCACAATTAAGATTATAGAACTACAAAATGTTTGGTATTTTATACTTGAAAATTGACTGAGACTATTAATCTCGATTATAAGATTTTCTGTTGACCGACTAATCAATTGTCTGTTTCAGCTCCAAACTGTTGCTGTTAATAAGATCTCTTAATAAGAATACACCTCTCACCATTTCTCTAGTTGTCATCTCTCTAAATTAAAGTATTTCAGCATTAATTGTGTAAGAAACATACTCACAGCCACGCAAACATACACAGATACACAGCACAGGGACACACACACACACACACACACACACACACATATATGTGAACAGACAATCTCACAGACACACAAACTGAGCTGTCAGTTGCAGATGGTAAGGGGGAGGGAGTGGGAGAGATGGGAGAAAGCGGGAGGCAGAGGGGAGTCCGCGGAGCAGATTATGTATTATTGAACACACTCTCTTCCCTCTACCTCCAAACCAATATCAGCCCAACGAATCTGCAGCCAGACCTGCCTTATTATACCTGATGTTCTTAATTTATATGTATGTATGGGGGTGTGCGTTGGAGTATTGTCCACACTGAGGCAGACTCCAAAATGCTCAATTTTTTAATAGAAGACTTGCAGACATTAGTTGCTCTACCTTTTCCACTGTTTAATATGCTGTGCAGACGTGTTTGTGCCTGGAGCATCAAAGAACATCTGCACAGTTAAGAGGCATAAAATCCAAAATTAAACACAGAAGCATTATAATGGTGATTTATGGTTTATTAACAAACTAGAAACAATTAATTGTTGTTTGCCTGTTGTTGCATGACAGCCAAAAAACATATATCAAACAGATTTCACGTTCGGCTCTATTCCCCTCATACCCTCAGCCTGCGAACTCCAAGTCCCATCATGCAACTTTAATACACACTGCAGCCATGGTAGAAATATGGAGTGAAGGCTGCACTGCGATGCTGTCACACGCAATGAAGGAAGGTGGCAAAGCAGAGGAGGGCTGGGAGGTAAGAAGCTGGGTGGAAACAGTTTTTGTATGTGGCAGACAGAAGTACAGAGGAGGAGAGAATAAGATTGTCATTCATGCAAGTGAAGTATATTGGAATTTGAGGTCCCCATGCAATCTGACAGAAGTTGAGTAGTTTACAAAATAATTTGGAATCGAATATCTTTGGGTTTTAGACTGTTGGTCAGACAAAACTAGACATTATAAGATGTTATTTGGGCTCTAGGATGGGATGTTTTAAAGGCAAAATAATTCACCAAGAAACAAAAGACAAAGTTGCAAATCAAAATAATACCGAGCTGCACCCTACATTCGTCACTTCTTTTGCAAACTCAGGCTAGGGGCTGTCTGAGATACAATGTCACCTGAAATATCAGCACTGACAGAAATAAAGACTGACAGCCCACGGATGCAGCTCCTAACTTTCCCACTCGGAGGTACTCCAGAGTTTATTCCACAAGAGCTACAAAGGAAATGAAACCTCATAGTTGATAAATGTCGCCGCCATCAGCAAAATTGTTTTCACTTTCCAGAAAAACTCATCTCAAACTGAGCCTCGCAAGCACAGCCCTCATCCTCTGCTGAGCGAACTCTACAGGCTGTCATCACAACGACTGAGGCGCGACACTAAAACACCACCTGCCTCCCTGCAGCTTCAGCTACACTGAGTCACTAAATCTGCTTTAGTGCATCTGGCCCCTTTTCTCACAGCAATATAATGTAAAGTGTTTTAAAACACGTAAAGACTCTCCTGGGAGTCATCTTATGATCTCATCTCCTCGCCACACAGCCTTGCCTTATACTCCGTGTTCATGTGCTATTCTAACTCTTCATTACAAATCACTTCCTGACGCAGCTTTGCAAGAAGTATTATACTGTACTTCACTGCAAAGTCCAGCCAGAGCCTTTCTGTTCTGGGCCTTGTCATATTTAAGTCTATCTATTTAGGGGATTCAGGGACTATCTCATGGCTAGGATGAGAGATAAATTCAGTTAATTACCCGTTAAAAGGAAAAATACAAACATCACTTTTGCTAGAAACAGGACAACACAATAAACTTTCCTCCAGGGTCAACTGATGTGAGGTGTCCTAGTTGGTTGCAAGCACAAAGTACCCTGCTGAAGTGCTCTTGGACGGAGCACTGACTGCCTAAAAACTTACACAATGCTGCTCTGTAGCTGACTACACTTTGTGCTTTGATTAGAAAATAAACCATGTCGCTACATTTCAAACTGTCCCCACTACAGCCATATTAAATCCTTTCATTTGTGGGAAAAGATGCACATCATGACGCACCCTCGCTGTGATTTCTGACATGATCCACGTGGCTCTTGGTGTCACATGTCAGCATTTGGATTATCTGTCTCCTCTTTCCTTTTTCTTTTGTTCGTCAGAGTGTTGATACTGGAGCTGATCAACTCAACATCCTGCCTTCAGCAGCCTTTAAACAATGCTGAGCTTTTCAATACATAATAGACTTTCTCCTTAAGTTTACTCCTCTCGTGTTTGAATTGTTGGAGGGCTGAATTTCGGTTTCATAAGTGAAACGAGCTATTAAAAGAATAAAACAAAATAAAGGTGCGTCTTCAATAAGGTCAAACTGCACTGGATCTGATTCTTGATCTGACACCTTATTCAAAACAACAAGGCAGACGTCCCTCTCCTCAGCAACTCTTTCCAGCTCCTCCTGATTGACCCCAAGGTGTTCCCAGGCCACATGAGAGATATAATCCCTCCAGCGTGTTCTGGGTCTGCCCCGGGGCCTCCTACCAGTGGGACATGCCCGAAACACCTCCAGTGGGATGCGCCCAGGAGGATGCTGATCAGATGCCCGAACCACCTCAACTGACTCCTTTCGACGCTTAGGAGCAGCAGCTCTACTCCGAGCTCCCTCCGGATGTCCGAGCTCCTCACCCTATCTCTAAGGCTGAGCTTAACTCCATCAATTACTATAATCAGCTGCTGAAGGGTCTTCATTTACAAATTAGAGTTTAACCAAACATATGCTTAGTATTCAAATAGAAGGAACATCTACTTTTGGAATCAACCAAACTAAACAACATCAAACTTTTGTTGTGTCGTGCTCCCACTCTGAGCCCGACGAGTCTATGTTACAGCGAGCGTCTTGACTTTTTGTGTTTATCCCCTCCATTACAAATGTGTTTTTACCTGCATGAGCTCCTGTTTCTCCTTCTCCCCAGAGCTGATGGCATCCCTGATGGAGCGGACCTCTGTGAGGATAGCCTGCGCCTCCTGCAGCTTGTAGCCATACGGGCTGTTGGACACCTTCTGGTCAATCCTGGGGGTCAGGATGAAAGAGCAGAGCCAGAGAGAGGAGGGGGTGAGGTAGAGAGGGGGAGGCAGGGACAGAAACAGGAGATAAAGGTCAGTTTGATGATGATTTAGACCAATATAAGTAGGAGTAGGGTTTCAGATAACGTCCCCAGGACACCTCATTCACTGTCAGCTGCTCTGGACAGATAATCACTTTCAAAAGATCTAATGGCTTTCAATTAGCTGCTTTTTAAATGTTGACACAAGGACCTGGGACAGCTGAGCAAACTATTACACACATTATAGCAACACCGACTCATTTTCATACGCTTACACTAAGTGTCAAGAGAAAGCTGCCCAGTGTAACCACAGCCTTTTCTAGCAGTCAGACGGCAGGCTTCAGCGTAGGAGGGTAGAACATCTCGCTTAAGGGCACTACGACAGCAGGTGGTGGGGCAGCATTACTCATTCGCTTTCAGCACACATATTTTTTAGGCTGCTCTTTTGAGCTCTTGTTTACTTACTCTTTGAGGAAATAGTATCTGATTTATCTAAATTATGTTTGTACCGCTATGATGAGTTAACAACACTCCACAGAGTACTGATAAAAAGTATAATTTATATATTGTACTGGCTGTACTGAAACATTTTCACAGCCAGACAGCCCTGCCTGTGAACTTCACCATCTTTGTTTGAACACTGAAGCTGAAACATGTGCCATTGAGGCCAGTAAATATGCACAGTCTTTCTTTTCCACAAAGCAATTGCTGCACTGACCGATTTTTCTAATTTGTACACCTCCTCCAGAGGAAATAAAAAGCCTGACTTGCGATACCTTGATGGGCCAAAGATTGGAAACCTGCATCCTCAGCATTAAAACCTGAATTTTCATTAGCTGGTGACAGCATTACATGCAGCTGATTTTTAGACTGCTTCCACATGAAGGTGGCTTATCTGTATTTGTTTCTTTTTCTTACTGTTTTCTCCGTCTATCAACTATTAAGGTCAGGTGTTCACATTTGAACCGACACCAGTTCTAGTGCCTGGAATCTGGTACCTGTTCCTGTAATCAGAAAAGGTAATTTCTGAACAAGCTGCAGGGTGACGTGATAGACTAAAAAGCAGTTCCGCACCTCTGTGATTTTCTAATCACACATAGAGCTAACTTCTGTCTCTGTCTCTCTGTCTGCTCGTGTGTGTGTGCGTGTGTGTATATGTGATACTAGGCTATTACTAAAAAATATATAGAAAAAAATAGACCAAACATCGAAAACTATCGCAGAAGATGAGTGCTGGTCGAGGCTAGAAAGCCGACGGTGCGAAGCTCCGTTGCCGGCCTTGGAGCTCCATGGCTGACTTCTAATCTTTGGGGTGTTTTATGGCACCTCTGCCTCTTGTCTGCTATTACTACTGCATGGGGTACACATCCAGATGCGCTCTCAGGTATCAATATTTGGCACAGATGGAATTAACATGAATCTGTGGTCTGTTGTGCCGACGTAATTCGGTCGGTACCCTTAAAAGTACCAGGTTCTGTACCCAACACTATCTACAGTTAACTTTGAAACAGAGCTTAAGGACTTTTAAACCAATCCACAATCTGTGACAAAGTCTTGTTGCCAGCCTGTAATCATTTTTATTCAGGGTTTCTACAAGTTTCTAGTTAAATTTCAGCTTTTGAGATCTTTCGAAAACCACAAAAAGTGTAATTTAATGTGTTTCATGATTATATAAAAGTACAATGAAAAATCAAAGCGAACAATGTGGCCTTGAATTATTTATTATCATATCCCCTTTTTTTCAGTACTTCCCTTGAGTATATAACAATAATTCCTGATGATATCATTGTTTTCATTAACATCAACTGGACCTGGATGAGCAGCAGTAAACAGATGGATGAATTAACCAATTAAAAATGATAAATTAATTTATGTTCATAATAATCCTTTGCCTGACATTCGCCCATTATAAGTTGATGAGTAGTGACAGTGTTTGCTGCAGGTTTGATGGCGTTGACTTACACTTCACAAAAAAGGACTGCACAGCCTCCTGCAGCACAATCTGCCATCACAACAATCCCACATTTAGTTTCTTGGTGTAATGTCTCCTAGCAGCCCTAGCAGAGTAAATGGAGTTGTCTGTCCCATTCCAGTCTACATCAGATAATGGCCACAATGAACTTCTTTTTGTCAAATAAGAGAAAGAAGAGGTTACGCTATTTTACTGTTCCAAAGGTGTACAGCAACATTTTCAAGTTGTTTTCGAAAAAAGTTCTCAATCTACACTGAGAACTTTTTTCGAAAACAACTTGAAAATGTTGACATAATCGAAGATATTTTTACGGGTAAAATGCATTTACATATACAGCTGACTCTTGATCAGTCTGAGTACAAGATTAAATATTTGCTTCATTAGATTTTGTTGGCTGTAGGCAGACTGGGAAGTCCCGGCTGCAGGGAGAACAGGCAGAAGAGTCGCTGCAGGAAACAGCCATCAGAGGCAGCAGCAGCTATGTAAACCTTGTCATCAGCAAGTCATGCATGCATCTGAATAACAGGTCCTTCCACATTCTTCAGAGAGGGAAGAGGGGGAGGGACGCTCGTACAGAGAGGGAGAGAGAGAGAGAGAGAGAGAGAGAGAGAGAGAGAGAGAGGGAGAGGGAGAAAACAAGGTACAGAGAGAATGAGGAAGTGAGGGAGGGAGAGAGGCACTTGTCTGTAACAGGCAGAGAGAACAAGTAATCCTCTCTGAGTCCTTCTCAAACATGGACTTATGCTGAGTGAAAATGCTGTTATGAACCATTTCATAATTAAAATCACAACGACACCTTCACAATAACACAGAGAAAAAGAGGGACATTAACAGATACTTACTAAGATAAAACATTTATCTAACTACAGTCACACTTTTTAAGTGGTACTGGAATTCCACACTAAAGTGGACATTTTTAAATGAGTAAAATCGTGTTTTTCTTGGACTTCAAGGTACAGTTGTGGCCAGCTCCTGCACCAGTTTTAGTAAACATCTGCCTTTCTGAAGTGCCTTTATTCAAAATGTTGAATCCCTTGCTGTGTGTGTGCTGTGTGACCTCTGATATATTTTCATTTTAAAACAGTGTTTTTTAAACTAAAACGATCTCCATATGCACAAGTATTTTGGATCAGTTTCGGAAATTATCTCCGTCTTTACTAACACCCCTGAAAATGGATATCATCTGACTATTAAAGGCACGCTGGGCATGTATGAGTCGATGTAAACAGGGAGCAGAATGTGAACTCTGCCACTGATTGCTGAAAAAAGTAAGATCAGAGTTTTGTTGGGTCGATGAAGAGGTGAAACTGTTACTGAAAGTAGCATGAGTATAAGGCAATCAAGGTGGCGGAAAACACAGACTGGGAGTCCTTGTGGAGCAAATATGGTGACATACTAGTTAGTGTTGTCACGGTACCAAAATTGGGACCCACGGTACAATACCAGTGAAAGTATCATGGTTCTGAGTAGTATCACGATACCACAGCAAAAATGAGGCAGATGTGCCTTTTGTCATTTATAAAAAGATAAATCACTTTTCTATAATACATCAATGATATTTCAATGGAATAAATTACTTATTGACTTATTCATACTTCAAAAACAGCATCAATAAGTGATTAACATAGGAGGGATCAAAATAAAATAAATAAATAAAATAAAAATCAACCAGCCACCCTCCTCCCCTGACAAGTAAAGACCAGTCCCTTCATAAGTAAAGAACAGTCCCTAAAGTGCGGTGAGGTTTGTGGACCGTTACCTGCCACACAGAGAGAAATGTGAACGGCTCGTTTCTCCTCTGACACGTCACATACCTGTGTGCTGCCACGGCTGGGCTGTTCAGGTAGGTCTGGGCAGTCATGACACCAACAAAGAGGAAATTATTGGACCTGGAGCCGGGCTTCTCGGTCGCCGGTAAGCCTTTATCTTGTGCCGCGGAGCACTACTATTTGACAGGAATACGGCAGAGCCTCCACAGCGACAGGATACTCAACCTCTTGCGACTGGACTTTGAACTTATCCCACAGTAGTGGTACCTGAGGTACCGTAGTACTATGGTACTCCAACATTATGGTATCATATGTACCGTGGTGTTTAAGTACCGCGGTCTACCGTTGGTACCAGCATACCGTGTAACACTAATACTATTGAGATACTAGGAGTATTATCCAATACTGCAGGAAGCCATGGCAATAAGAAACAAGTGCCACACAAGAATAAAATACCTTCCTTTAATGTTTTGGCTTGACACGTGACCGATTAGATCCTATCGGGAAGGGAACGTGGGTGTCTGTGTCATCATTTTCAAGTCTCCGTTTTCACCCATGCAGGCTATAACACAACCCCAGAGTTTTCAAACTAAAATGGGGCCAGCAGCTTTTTCAAATGTGTCTGTTTAAGGAGTTCTAAAAGCCCCGAGTAGTGTGGACGCTAAGCATAAACACAGTAATAGTTATGCATTTTATAACAAAAACATATTATTGTGGACGCAGCCTCAGTCTCTAGTATGGGTCAAGCTCCAAAAACAAACAACCCCACTCCTGCACCTTTCAAACTCTTGTAAGAGAGGCTTTCTGTTATAATCTTCAAGTCCAATCTTATATTAAAACCCTGAAACCATCATTGGGTTTAGTGTCTGGGATTTTAAAGGTTCAACACTGATGTTGGGCGTAAGGTCTGTCTTGCATTCAACACTCCATTTCATCCCAGAGGTGATGGATGGGGTTGAGGTCAGAGCTCTGTGCAGGCCAGTCAAGTTCTTCCACACCAAACTGAGAAAACCATTTCTTAAAGGAGCTGTCTTTGTGCATGGGGTCATTGTGATGTAGAAACAGGAAAGGGACAAACACAAACTGTTGCCACAAAGCTCCCTATTGTCACACACAATATAGTTCCCAACCTTTAAAACAAAGTAATGTCTACTTGACAAACAAAAACTATGCACTAAATCACGACCAAAAAGGCAAAGATTAAAGGAAAATCTGGAAAATGAGCCTCACATTGAGGAGTACAAACGTTGCTTACGCTTCCTGTACTGATAATCATCTTGTGAGCCCTCTGATTCATCATACGGCCAGGTTTGAAACCACTGGTCTAAAATATTCTTCCACTTCACTGAAACTAAGGGACATAACAAAAAACCAAGAAAAACAGACCCCAACAAAAGTAAACGTAGGTATATGAACAGGTTTGTCCACATATTTTTGCCCATAAAGTGTATAATACTGTCACTTTTCTGTTCTACCTATCAGACAACATCATAAAACTCCCTCTCATACATGAGTATTTTGTGAAATCTTATCAGGAGCTGAGTGTTCGGCTGCATTCCAGTCTAAGCCTATTCGTATTTCTGCAAACAGTGATTGGTTGTTGAATGCCGTCTGATGACTGTAACAGGAGAGGAAAGTCACGGAGGAATGCCGTCCAACCACTCTGCCTCAGCTACTCTTTAATCCTCCTGACACTCTCACTGTGCTGCGTGAGGCAAGACAAACAGACCGGACATTCCTGTTCAATTCAACATCGGCTGACAGAGGATCTGCATGTCGGCCCTCGAATGCGGTGCATTTCGAAAACAAATCACAGACAGCCTCAGTGTGACATAAAGAACAAATGGAAGAATGAATCCCTTTCAAATCAACATTCCTGACTGATGGCTTCACTGTTCTGGTACACCTTGCACTTTCTGACAAACTTACTTCATACCCTAAGGTGTCAAAGTAGGTCAGAGAGAAGGGGTGTTCCCTTTCTAAATCCACATTCTTCAGCTGTTGTTCCACTGGTGCATTTATAGAGGCGTTAGTGTTTAATGATCGGATGGAATGTGTGATAATGCTGAGGCAATAACTGACGTGATAAGCAGGTCTGCTGCGCTGAAGTTTCTGACTTACTTGCATCTGTTCAACTCCACATAATCACATTTACGGTTTATATGCTGTTTAACAGGGCAAATTCCAACAAGTGCAACACTACAGGAAGACTCAACTCCTTCATCTCTACTGTACAACACAATCCCTGTGATGCATAAGCGATCATGCCATAGATAAGGATAGGACACATGAAAGATAAGAGCTAAGTTGAGACATGGCAAAGATCTTCTATGAAAGACCACATTAGATGGAGGAGAGAAGATACAGGGAAGAGGAACGATCCAGACAAGGTGCGGTTAAGATCTCTGCTCAGGAACAGGAAAATAGCTAAAAGTCTGTCATCGTCACCCCTAATCTGACAGATATCAACAATACAGTTGAACCAAGTCAACATGAGTTGATTCTCAGCTGCTTAAAACTCCATTTAATCCCCTCTCCCTCTCCCTGATCATCACCCATGCTTTAGTTTTAATACAGCCAAAGTTAGGTGTTCTTATTGACATGTTTGTTTCTGTTGTTAGGCAACTAAATGAGTGTTACACATCAATTTCATCACAGCTTATACAGGACAAACAATAATTCTACAGAACTGTGACACATCAGATGTTACTCTGTAGTCTGACAATAAGAATACAGGTTACGAACATCTGCTGTGGCTATAATGACATTTAAATTGAGTGATAACAGACAGAGTTTGGGGAGAACAACTTTGAACGACAGGGTGTCCGAACATGAGCTATGTCTACATTGATTCTCACTGGTTGGAAGTGGGCAGGACAGAGTTGGGAAAACATACTTCACAATCAGGATTGAGCCAAACCTTTAATTTTTCTTATTTTTTTTTTTTATGATGATTTTTTTTTTTTCTATGGCGGCATGGTGATGCAGTGGTTAGCATTGTCGCCTCACGGCTAAAGGGTTCCTGGTTAGAACCCAGGGTGAGGAGTTCTAACCCAGGGTCGGGGAGCCCTTCTGTGTGGAGTTTGCATGTTCTCTGTGTCAGCATGGTTTTCTCCGGGTACTCCGGCTTACTCCCAGAATCCAAAGATATGCAGGTTAGGTTAATTGGTAGTCTCTGTACTCTACAAACTCTACATTCAGTGAATGTAGAGTCTGTAGGCAAACCCCGGAGATCTTGCCTCCAGAAGAAGAGCGGAAGAGCCCTGGTTTCCAGTTGTAGGCTGTCTGTAGTCCGTGTGATATTGATCAATCACGTATGAGCTGGCTGCAGTTGTTGCCAGGTTAAATGGTCCGTGCAGTGAACTAACAAGGCGGAACATAATTGGCGTCACTGCAAACTCTGAATCCATCGCAATGGTTCAGAATATTTACTTCAGGGTATGAAATTAACAAAATATTTAGGGGGCAATTTTGGCCCCCACGGTCTAAAAAATGGGGGCATTTTCAAAATGTTTGGGGGCCATCAAAAAATTGTAATTATGTTCTAACAGTAAGCACATGAAAAGCAAAACCAACTAAGATAGTGTCTTCACTCTTCAGTAGAAACCACTATAAATGAAATAAATAATGGGTTACATAAAGTTATGGTTGCAAAATATCACTCAGATTTCCTATAATTCAACCAGTTTAAATGTGATGATTTAACCATTAATCTACTGATAGCAGTACTAATGTTTCACCATATTACAGTTACTTTTACTGTTAAAAAGGCCAAATTACTATAAATTCCTTAGATGCAATCCTGGAAGTAAGTTAATTTAAAATTTAACATTCATTCTACCTTAATTTTTCATTAATTTGTCATTGTGTAGACACAGATCACCCAAGAAATGGTTAATTTATACTTATGGTACAGCAAAGCCCCCTCCCCTTCTCTGTCAGATTACTCTCACGTAATCAGTGCAATCTCGTTGATTATGTCTGGAAAATGAGTTGTAGACGTGACAGTAAATTAATTTAATGAAAATAAAATTATACTTTAATGTCAGATTGTAATACTGTTAAAAATATAAATACATATAGTTGTTTCGAAAACTTGGGGGCAATTTTGGCCCCTGGAACATGGCTTTTGGGGGCATTCTTGGATAAATTGCGGGCCAAATGGCCCGTGGCCCTTGCTAATTTCTGACACTGATTTACTTATATATAAACGGAAGTCGGAAATGGAATTCGCCTCCTCCGCCCAAATCAAATCGGAATGCCGAAAAATCGGGGGTCTGCCCCCAGAGGCTGTATCACCGTCTGCTGGAAGTCAGACGCCGAATACAGCTGATGCATTTCGAGAATGGGTTAATTGGTGACCTTAAATTAAATTAAACTGTGATATTCTGGCGACCTGTCCAGGGTGTTCCCTGCCTCTCGCCCATTATCACCCCCCACGACCCCTAACAGGATGAGCAGTTACAGAAATAAATGAATGAATATCTTATGTTATTTGGAAATAGTTGGGGGGCTTTACTGCCACACAGCCCCCAACCAGACTTCATCATGGTTTTACAAAAGCCTATTTTCACTGTCCACACTTAAACATGCCAATGATTTCAGAATTATCCACTGCAGAGCCTCTTTCTGAGTCCTACATGCTGACTAAAGGCCCTTGCACAACAGGTCCATATATAACAATTAAAATCGTTTTGCCCAGAAACCTTGCTCACTGAGTCTGTTGTGTTTTTAAGAGACTTCTACCTTCTGATCTAGCAGCTGAGGACCTATCCTGATCATTCCTAGGTCTATTCCAGGACATCAGTGATACAGTTTGATGAGTCACACACTGAAAGGAAGGCCACCAATTTTTCTGCAATCAAACTGATCCTGAACCGCAGCTGGTAGTATGTTTAAGGTTGAGACACACGGACACACACACACGGACACACACACACACACACACACACACACACAGTCGGATGCAAAAAACGCAGAAAAACAAACCAAAATTTTAATGATGTACGTAAGTTTTGGAGTTGGTGTGTAAACACGATTGGCACAACTTGAGATCATATTGTTTTCAAATGTGTGACAATTTCAGACGAAAAATAAGGACTTGATGTGCAAAGGTCTTTCGTCTGGACAGATGGCCAAAGACTTATTTTGAGTTTGGATGTATTTTCTGAGGGGGAAAGGTGGTATAAAACATTAGCTGTTTTTTTATGTATTAATCATTAGACACCTAAGACCTAAGACATTTAAAGATAACTCTTTAGGACTCTGGGAAGTTGCAATGGCCATTTTTTTTTACTTTTTCTACAAATTTCTCAGACTGAACTTTCAATTAGTTGAAATAAATTAACTGGAAATTTAAATATTCATTACTTGCAGCCTTAGTTGTGAATTTGAGTTGGCTGTTTTACTCAGACCTTTAAAGGGCTAATGCCTCATAAAGAAACATAAAATTATACTAATTAACCTTTAGGAAATGGCTGAAGATTGCCCTGACACACTAGAATTGCTCTGCCTGAGAACTCTCTCCACTACACAGTAAACGTGAGCTGAAGGTGTTTTGCAGGCAGAAGGTGAATGTGAAAGACAGAAGGAAGGTCACGCGTTTACTTACTATTCAAGTCATATTCTGACTGTCTTGCTTCACTCGTCAAATTAAATTAGGAGGGCTGGTGGTAGCATAAAGTGTGAGGATCAAATCCCAGAGTCGGCTGTCAACAAATACACCTGTCAAAGTGCCCTTCAGCAAGGATTCAAGGTGGGGGACGCTAGACTGGAAAGTTTCCAGAAGTGAATACGAGAGCACACACGTGAACAACAAATACCTCCAGGTAAAAAGGGATAAGAGAGGTGTCTGTGTGAGGACGAGGGGATGCACCAACTTACTCTTTGAGGGTCTCAAAGCCTTGTTCTTTGTACTGCAGCTCCTGCTTCATACAGGCCAGGTCCCGCTTCAGCTTGTTAACCTGAGACACAGAGATGACAAGAACTGTTAGAAATACTTTTTGTCAAGATTTTTTGGGGGCATTTGGCCTTAATTGGACAGGACAGGTTTTTTAAAATGAAATGGAATGAGAGAGGGCAAGGATATAGCCTTTGTACATGGGGCACCAATTGTACCGGGTGAGCTAGTGGGCGCCCCAGCTGTTGGAAAATATTTTATATTTTAATTACAGCCGACAGTCCATATGAAAATCAATGTGTTAGTATGTCTCTCAATACTTTCTGAGTTGTGTGGCTCTCAGCCTCAAGCCCATTGGATCCTACTGAACGTGGAGAAAAAAGACTCACAAATGTAGCTAAATTTTTTAAAAAGGATAAATAAGTAAATAAGAACAACTGGGCACTGCAATTTTAAGCATGTGTTACTCAGACAGGAGTTAACAGGATTTTTTATTGGGGACTATTTTCAGCAACGGATTAATCCACATTTGGTGCTCTAGTGAGTATTTGGGGAAGCAGGATGGTGTATATGGGACTGAGTCAAAAGGAGATATATCAGGCTGTGCTTCACACAATACTTGTTAGTATTCATTCATTCTTGGTTTTCGTCTTTTCATGACATTTATTGACAATAATATGTAGAAGAACTATCTTGTGGTTGTATGCCTCCACGCACCAGTCAAGTTGCACTTACAGTTTACATCCATGTCTGTGAAAACATGGATGCTTTTTTTGCAGAACTGCCTCTAAACTTTGGGATATAAAATATCATCACTTCATCATTTTATCCAATAATACACTTCTGTGAAATTTTGTCATAATAAGCGTATGAATTCTTGAGTTTTGTGAGGTGACAGTGACCTTGACCTTCAACCACCAAATTCCAATCAGTTCATCATTGAGTCCAAGTGGACATTTGTGCCAAATTTGAGGAAATTCCATCGAGGCATTCTTGAGATATTACATTCATGAAAATAAGATGGACGCAAGGTCACAGTGGCCTTGACCTTTGACCACCAAATTCTCATCAATTCATCATTGCATCCAAGTGGATGTTTGTGCCAAATTTGAAACAAATCCCTCAAGAGGTTCTTGAGATGTCGCTAAAAAACTCCACCACCGGTTGCAGTATTAAAGAAAATACAATGAACAGCCACCAATGTGGAATTGAGTTTATTATAGTCACATGTGGCAAGAATGACTTTATGTGGTCATGTGGCTTTAGACTAGTCAAACTGCTGAACCTGGGGGGACATGACTGGTGTTTCGTGCGGGGGACTCCACAACATATCTGATCCACAGCCAGGAGGAGTGAATGTATGGAGTGGTAACCTCTTTGAAATGTAATTCTCCTCTGAATAAACAGGCAGTCCCTTCTATTAAATCCAAAAATATTCTCTCGTTCACTGCTAATATAATTTCGCCACAACATTCGCCTTTTGTTCCTTTCAAGATGAACAACAGGAGCATAAATCTGTAACCCGAGACATGAGTATATTCATTATTAAGTAATTTAAAAATGGGATTGCAAATTTATGACACAGTGTCCTGTTTTATCCAACCAACAATCCAAAATAAAACTAAAAGTATTCAGGCACAGAGACAGTTGAGAAGCTGGACCCAGAAAATAAGGGCATTTACTTAAAAAAAAGTTGTAAAACAATACATTGACTAATCAATATATCAGCTCATCATTGTTTTATAAGGCATAGTGTTGTTGTTTTTTTTTCATTTTATATTGACACATAAACAACAAATATCAGATGAATCAGTGATGACATAGAGGTTAGTTGGAGCCCTATTACGAAACATTATTAGTAGATCAGGTATCGACCAGATGAGGTTGAACAGGAAGGAGATGCTCTTACCCGACTTTTGGCTGTGGCTATTTCTGCTTTAAGGATGTCTGGGTCATACTTGCTCGACGAGGACGATCTGGAATTCACTGCAGGAGAAGACAGACGAGAAGAGAAAAGAGAGGTATAAAGAATGGTCCCTTCTCAGCCTTCTCTGATTTGGTTATCTCACAGCTGTTTTTGTGTTTCACCAGGGAGAGATGACTGAGGAAACCTCTGAGCAAGAGAGAGACAGAACTATCAACAAAAGTCACTGAGGGGAAAATGTGTTTATATCTGTTAAATTGAAGATATCTCAAGAGAAACGTTAACTTGTTTTTTCTGTCAAGACTTGAAAGAAAAAGTAGAGCATTACAAATAAGAAGCTATCAACCTCTCTGATGTCAAGGACTCGTTTACCGTCTTCTGAGAGGAGAAAGCTACACTGATGGCAAACCTATACACCTATAAAGCATTTCTTCTCTCCCATCCTCTTAAATTTTGTCTTTGATTTTATTCATTTTCTCTCTCTCTCTCTCTATTCATTTTGCTTTTTATCTTCTTTTTCTTGAAATCAGTATGTACAGAGCCTACAATATGTATTCCTATCATGTGTCACAACATCAAATCACAGTAGATTTAAATTGTGCTTTTTTTTGACACAGATCAGCAGATTATTTTATCAGCTTGAAAATGGTTCCCTACAATGAGACTTAAACTTAAAAATATATACAGTATATATTCAGAATAGTGGACTGCATATGTACTTACCCCCTTTAATAGGACACAACTAAGTAATCACTTGTGCAGCCAATTACTTTTGAAATTCACATGACTGATAAATGGATAAATTAAATTATAAATTAAATGATTAGATGGTGATATCAAAGCAACGCTCAGGGGATTGATATAAAAAGTCACTGAATATCCCTTGGAGTACAGAGAAATCGATTATAAGGAAATGGAAGGTTTGGCACAGTTGTCAATCTGCCGAGAGCCAGCTGTCCACAGAAAGTGAGTCACCGTGCAAGACAGATGCTAGTGAGGGAGGCTACCAAAAGACCAGTCACTACTCTGAGATAGTTACAAGCTTGCGTGTCTGAGACAGAAGAGACTGTGCACGCGACACCTGTAGCCCCGCTGCTTCACCAGTCACAGCTCAGTGGGAGACTGGCAAAGAGAAAGCCACTGTAAAAACCAACTTACATAAAAGCTCACTTAGAGTTTGCCAGAAGGCTCATGGGGGAGAGAGCTGGAGGAAGATGTTATGGTCTGATGGGATGATAACTGAACTTACTGGCTAACAAACAAAACGCTATGTTTTGCCAAATCCTGCAAATCTTCAGCAATACTCCACACTCACAGTGAAACATGATGGTGGCAGCATCATGCTGTGGGGATGCTTCTCTGCTGCAGGCCCTCAAAGGCTTGTTATGGTTGATGGATGAATAAATGCAACAAAATAAGGGGAAGTCATGGGAGAAAATCTGTAGCAGTCAGCAGCATCACATCTGCCACTTCCAGGGGGGTGAATAGATTTTATAGGCACTGTATGTAAAATATTTTCATTGACACAGTGCTTATTTATTGAGTGATTACAGGTGTAATGAGAGAGCCAAATGTGGCATGTCACATCTCGCATCTCTTGTGATTGAAGCTTGTGCAGTACGCAGTCGACAGGCATTGGGTCTTGCTCGGCATGTAGCCACAATAGGAAAGACTTTTTAACTTCTGTATTTTATCAAGCAGTGTGCCATGATTTTTTATGGGGGGAATCCCTCCCTTCTGTTGTGGACAGTATTTTCTTAGCCATGCATAAAGAGCACCTGTTTTGTGTTACATCACTGTCAGATCCAAGTAGCGCTTCCTCCTGTTTCTTTTTCCATTTCCTGACTCTCCTTCCAATTTTCACAACCAACAATGACCCAACGTGTAAAATAAATCAAGCCACACCATGTCTGTGGCTCCTCCTTCCTCAGACCCTCCACAGTACTCACAGCTGGTCTGTGACGTTGACTTGTCCCTCCACGCATCATTGAGCTGCCGGTACTCCTGCTGCGCCAGACGAAGCCTCTGCTCCTTCACCTGGTAAATCTCCTTCTGGGCACTGAGCGCGTCGCGGGCCACAGCCAGGTAGTCCCGGAGCATGGACTCCTGCTCTCGCTGCCACTGGGCCCGCGGGTCCTCCAGCTGGGTGCTCTCTGGAGGAAAGAGAGTAAGAAGGTTCAAGCTTGTTGGATGAATGTTGGTTGAATGATAGGGGTAAAAATGGAGAAAGAAGATGTAGCGATGTGCAGAGAGAATAATAAATAAAAGTAACACATAAAAGTCAACTCACTGGTGTTGTGGTCAACATAGTACGCTCCGACTGTGGGGTCATACGCCTCCTCCCAACCGACCGGCAGCTCATCCCCGATGCAGTCAGCAAACGTCAGAGGCTTCGTCTGCCTGAAGAAAACAGAATCAGAAAACAGACTGAGAAACAGAATCGTCTCCACTGTGATCAACAAACTTCACAGACCTTGTCAGTCTGAGGCCCGAACATGTCTCATTTATAACCACAATATTTAGCTACACATATATGCATGAACTATGTCCATGGTATGTGCCGTGTACAATATTTATCAATGAAACATAACACAAACACACAATGCCACAATCATTAGGGTCCATGAGTCTGATGGACATCTGTGTGTGTGTCTTCACCTCTGAACAACACAAACTTATTTGAACATTCTAAACACTCCCATAAGCTTTCTCACATTTGACAAAGGTGTGTGTGTGTGTGTGTGTGTGTGTGTGTGTGTGTGTGTGTGTGTTTGTGTGTGTGTGAGAGACAGCAGACACCACTTTTCAACCTACATTCATAGAAAGCTACAGATATAAAATAGGTGTAACAGGTAAAGTAAAATAGGTCAAGTATGGAATGCAAAGTGTGTGACACATGCTAATTAATGCACGTGACACCAGCTTTTTACAATTCATACCAGAGCGCTGACGGTTGCCGTTCACACACACACACACACACACACACACACAGTTCTCAAACAACAGCCAATCAATGGCAATTTGGCTGATGAAGTCATTATGAAGGAAATAGTAGAAGCTCAATTAAACTAGATCACAGCATCATGAGAAAGAATAAGCATACTCGGCTGCACTGTGTACCGAATCCTCAAAAACATTACCTCAAACATCAGTAGGACAGCAGACCGATTAAATTATTTATTAATGCACAGACATTTGGGCAGAAACCCCACCTCAGTGTGCAAGCCACATAAATATATCAAACCCTGCGCGAATCTTAATGACTTTCAGTTCATTAAAATGTGATTAATGGATTGTTTACATTGAGATTATACATAATGAAGTGTTGTTTCTTTGTTTTTTTCTGAAATTGTTCTACAGCTGAAACAATTAAATTAGTCAATGAACAGAAAATTAATTGGCAAGAAATTAGCTAATTAAAAAATCGTATCTGTCATTTTTTTAATTAAGCAAAAATGCCTATAAGTATTTGGTTCCACCTTCTCAAATGTGGGGATTTGCTGGTTTTCTTTGTCCTCTGTGATAACAAACTGGATACCTTTGAGTTTTGGACAGCTGGTCGGATAAACAATAATTTGGAGTATGTCAACTCAAGCCTTAGGGAAGCTGTGATGGCATTTTTCGATTGATTTATTGTGAAAATAATTGTTAGTTGCAGCTGTAAACTGTTTAAAAGCCGCCTACAATATATAATATGCTCTGCAGTAACCCTAACATGATGCTACAGTTATTATAGAGTCAGAATAAGTATTAAAAATGACCAGCGTAAAACATGGATTCATCCCAGCTCACCGAAAGCAGTTCCAGGAGGCAGTTTCAGGAGGAGGAGGTAGGGTAAGTGTGTGTGAGAGTGAGTGGAGAGGATGGGGGTGGGTAGTCTGGAGTTTCACTGAGTCCTCTATTCACCTCTGAGGGGGGAAAAGGAGAAAGGGTGGGGGTGGAGGGGGGTCCCTGTAGCCGGTCACAATAGGAGGAAACCAGCCCGTGGCATTCCACAAGTAGCGCTGACGCATCGCCTGGAGGTTTCTGGGGCAACCCTCGGCCTTACAGCGGCCTTACACTGAGTTCGCTGCAGCCGGGATGGTGAATTCAACCACTTTTACATTTTGCTTTGACATAAGTGAGTCGCAGTGAGCCAGAGATTTTACTTCTACCCGTTGCTGCTTTGTTTCTACTGCAACAGCATTTAAAATCAACATGTAATGAAGAGAATATATAACACAACTTTGGGAAGTTATAACTGTGTACAGTTTAACATCCTTAAATTTCCATAATTTTCCCTAAAAACTTTGTCGGATTGCCTGAAGTCATTTTTTACATCTACTGGTACTATAATTAATATTCAATAACGCTATAACAGTATTTTGCATAAAACAGATATGATCCAGATCAAATCCTTTGCTCTTGTCATCCCGTACAAAGATAAGACTTCAGAGGACCTTTTATCAGCTCCATTCTTTCACCAAAGATACTATTTAAATGAAATATCAAATATAGAACCGCTAATGCTGCATTCACATGGAATCAGGCAAACGGCAGATGGCAAACCGGATGTCATGTTAGTGGACGAGAGAAGGACGGTAAAACTTGGGCAAGGCCGGCAGAGAATACCGTCCAGGGCAACGGTAGACGGCAATGCCGTCCAAAGTTAAAATATTTTAACTTTTACCATTCACCGGCCACGGATTACTCAACTGGATGTGACGTAGTTCCAAAACAGAAAAGAAAACATGGCTGAACTCGACAACGAAAAGCTTGTGCTTTTGGTGCAGCAGCACCCAGAATTGTATGACCAAACTTTAAAAGCCTACCTTGATGCTTCCAAGAAGGCGTACATATGGGACGCGATTAGCGCAGAGCTGGGTAGAATACCAGGTACGAAATATGAAATGTAACGTTATGAATTGCTTTATTAGCTTAGCGAGCTATCTGGCTAAAGTTAGCTCTCTGTAGCCCAAAAACATCGCCATAGCAACAATTACGTGTCACGAGTCACGTGTGTCTCATTTTGCCATTGTGCCTTGTTTTTTTCTCCCATTCCGTCCAGCAGACGTCTCCCGTCTCCCACCTGCCTGATTCCATGTGAATGCGGCATAAGTGTTTCTTGAAGAGTCACAACTGACAGTTTTTACTTTAGCTGTTATGCTAATGTTACGTTAGCCTATGTACTAATTTCACAGACAACAGGACAAGCTAACTGCTCAAACATGAATGTCCAGAGATTCCAATTAACTTGATGAGGATGTTGTAGCAATGATACGATCTTAGAAGTACAACTGAGGGATTCTAGCTCTAGCTTCAGTATTTTAATTTTGTAGTTTACCTAGATCTTGTAATGCAAAATAAAGCTAAACAACCTAAAAATGAGAATCCTGCTAACAGCAGTGATCATGGGCTTTGTGCTTGAAGCATTGTCGCAATGGCTCAAACCCTGAAAATGAATTATAAAGTAAAAAAGCCATCACCAGAAAATGGCTGAAGACAGAGGCACCAACAACTGAGGACTGGGTGGATGTAATACATGATATATATGTGATGGAGAAGTTGACTTTTTCTTCCAGATTGGAACTGGTTAAATTTCATAGAATTTGGGAAAACTGGTTTGAGATCGGACTTCGTATGAGTGGATATGTAACTTGTAGAATGCCTTGGTTCATTGCTATGGGTGTTTGTAATGTTCTACTACTTGTGCACATGGGTTGTGCATGAGGGGAGGGTGAAAAGGACAGAGATTACATTTATTTGGCAGTTTTATAACTTTTTCATTTATTTTAAGTGTTTTTTATTGTCTTTTTTTTGTTTTCTTTTCTTGCCTTGCTATTGTATCTGAAATGAATGATGGAAAGGTGTAGACAGATAGGGATGTGTAAGTGTGGATAGATATGTATCTGTAAGAACACAGATGAACAAATAAGCAAGGATATGTTCATGCAGAAGTAAGAGATTTTTTCTCTTTTTTGTTTTCTTTGTAAATAAATGTCAATGAGACAAAAAAAAAGTGTCTGATGGAAAGCGAGTCCTTTGCCCCAGTAAAAAGAGAATTTAAAAAAGAATATGAATTAAAATGAATACTGCTTTGGTGTGGGCATTTAAACTCAAATATGATATCGGCACTGCTCTCGAAAATTTTGCAACAATGCCTTTCCTCACTGACAATCAGTAACCATTAATCATTAACAAACAAGTTATCTTATGAATGTCATTAAGACAATTGAACTCATCATTCCCCTAAACTGTGTCCAAGTCCTCACCAATAGCATCTGAAATATCACATGGGATAAACAACCAGACAAACAAATGCAAGGAAACCACATCTCACTAATTTCATGATGAGAGACAACAACCAGCAGAGTAAAAAGCTCTTCTCTTTGGCTTTTCTCCTCTGCTGCCTCTTGTGTTTCGTGACTGCAGATCCAAACAAACAGAGCAGCGGCTCGCTGCTGAGGAGAGAAACTGAACTGGGTCCTTTTTCAGCTGATGAATAATGAAAGGGGCCCAGAGAAGACCCCCTCAGCTTCGCTCTAAATTTAGCTCAGGAAGACAGGGAGGCTTCTGCCAACCGCTGATCCCAGAAAAAAGCCGGCTGGTTGGCTGGCTGGGTATCCACATCCCATTATTTGATTCCTCTCTTCTCTCACCCACTAAATCCTATCCTCTAATCGCCGAGCCGAGGGGAGTCGCTGACCTAAACTCGTCGCTCTCCGTCACTGCTCTCTCTCGGAGCGAAGAACCGTCTGGCAGCAGCTGCCCAGCCTCCATTTCACTGTCAGTCATTCAATAGCCACTTGTAGTGCTTCTCACATGCTTCATTACTCTAGTGGTCTAACTGCCTGTGATGACTGTGGGAGCCTCCACATACTGGGAACAGGCAATACGGACCAAAACTAATATTTTATTATTAAATACCTTGATAATAATGCAACAGTTAGCCTGAAACACGTTTGTCTGGCATGTGTGTACTCATGGATATTTTTCTTATTTTTTTCAATTCCAATATATCCCTGTCTTTTGATACCCCTAGCACAGATCAGGATAATCATCAAACATAATAAGAATATAAGGTAAATTTGTTTGCTGACCAGGATTCAGGGGTCTTGTGTTTTTCCAGTTGATTCCTAATCTAAAGAGCAGCTCTGTTCACCGGGAAATGGTATATTATCTTCATTATCCTGGGATGGTGAGTAGTGGAGATCCATGTATTTTTATACCTCAACACTGACTTTTTGTTGTCCAATGCGACAGCTAGAAGACCACTAAAGACAAAGAACAGAAGCCAACACACAGCTACCACCAGAATGTACCAATACAGTAAATGTAATCCACATCTTTTTTGACAAGTCGGAGAAGAAAAATCAGTCTAACCCTGAAGCCAAACACATCTCACCAACCATCAAATTCCA